CTGCAATGCACCCAATTATATTGGCGCACCTTTGACACGCATACAGCTTGCAAGGACGGGTCGTCCTGGCAGGGGTGCTGTGGGCCGAAAGGCTTCTCGGGGCTGAGAGAATGCTTCCCCTGGCAAAGAAACCACAGCGTGGCAGTGGAGGACCGCAGCGGGGGCTCGCAGGTTTAAGGCAAGTGGAGCAACTGCACGAACTACAATGGCAAAAACACGAAACAATGGCAACAAAAACAACACGATCAGTGGAGCAATCCAGAGAATGGTTTGGAGGTCGCCCCTGTCTCCTTGCAAGCGGCGCCAGCGACAACGGGGTTACCGCCTTCTGTCGGGAGCTTCCCCCTGCTGCTCTTCGGGAGTTGTTGGGTTTTCCTTCCATTTGCAGACATGTTTTTTGTGTTTTTCCACATTTTTGCATTTATTTTGTTTTTTGTTGCCCCTGTTTGTTTTTAAGGAGAATCTATCACTACTGGAGATATTTTCCCCTTCTGCAGCGCGCGAACACGGAAATTTGAGTCTTCTCAGGAGGTTTTGGCGTTTGCCTTCCTTGTCACCACAGGCTGAAATTGAGAGAGAGTGTCATTTGGAAGATATCTGTCTTTTCCCGCACAGGTGGTGAATGGACTCACTTGAGAATCAGAGAACTGAGCTCTCCAGGGTTTTTGCACTGTACACTTTTCCCAGCGATGTCACAGGCCAAGGGAACCTGTACCAATGTTTGCTTGCACTTTACAGGCTTCAGTTTTGTCTTGCCGTGCCTTCAGTTGGACCCACTGACCCCAGGTTGCATGTCAGATTCGATGACCAGCTCCTTTCTGGGGTGTAACATACGAAGCACCCCAAACACATTTTTGGTTTCCTGGAAGCAGAGAGGAAGCCTTCTGAAGATGCCAACCCCCCCCCCGCCCCCCCCCCGGCTGTCCACTTCCATGATTGGACAGAGGCTCGCCAAAAACGGGAGGCTTTCTGGGCAAGTTCCACTCATGTCCAACTTGCGAAGTGGATTTGGTCCATCCGCAGGACTTCACTTTGGACAAGTCCTCCGCCAGCTTTGTCGTTGACCTGCCCGAGACGCAGCCGTTCCGGAAGCTTTGGGCCCTCATCCAGGCTGGGGGCGGCTCTGGGGGCGGCTCTCTGGGCGGTTCCGCGCGCGCGGGTGGTCGGGGTGGGGTGTGGGGTGGGGGGTTGTACAGTGGACAGGAAGGGGTCTGAGGGGCTACTGCTGGGGTGTCACCTGGGCTTACTTTCTGAAATGGGGTTATCCGTTGGACTTGATTCACTCGGACCTGGGCTTGAGGGGGCTTTCTGTGAGCGGTTGGTTGGCCAGGCGGGTCTTGTCAGGACCCCTTCCTTGACTTGCGGCTGGGGCCTTCTCAGAATGCCCTTCCCAAAGACAGGTGAGCATGAAACCATTCTAGAGGTTGATTCCCCATTCTTTTCAACCATCGTTCTTTTCGAAAAAACTGGCTGTTTCCTCTGGGTTTTTGATGATTTCCTGAAAAGAAGGATCCCTGAAGAATGGGGAAGGTACCCCTAGAACCATGGTCTGATATGCGCAAAGCACCTCGAATCCACGCTGCTGGATCCCTTGCCGGCATTTCAGGAGGCCTCGCCGCACCTGACGCAGCAGCAGCATGGCCTGGTCTTTGAAAACCTCTTCAGCGTCATGTGGGAGCACCCGGCCTGGAGTACCCCAGCCATCCTGGCGGAGGATTGCAGTCCGAAAAGGGCCGCAGAAGCAGCACAATGACATGGTTGTTGTTGGGAAACATTTTGCATTTTTGCTTATTGTGGTTTAGTGGGAAATCCCCATTGTAAAAAGGAAAAAAACACCTATCCCCTTTCAACGTCAACCAAGATGATATTGTCGGCAGCTTACTGTTTGGTTTTAGGGAGCTTGCCGTTCGGTTTTTGGTTTTAGGCAGCTTAAAGTTTTGGAAGTCCCTGAAATTTCCTGCAAACAAAAGACCGGGGTGGGGGGGGGGAAGAAGCCCAATTTTTCGATTTCCTCCTGGGAACCACATCTTGCTCTTTGATGGCTGGCTGACGCAACACCGTGCCTCAAGCCTGCCGGGGGCATTCTTCCAATTGGGTGTCTCCTTTTGGTTGGTGGCGCCCATAATGAATGGCACCTAAAGGGGGAAAGCAGTTTAAATTCCCTTCGAGCAAGAGGCAACAACAGGACAAAACTACTCTGAACATCTTCTTCGGCTTCTCTTCGGAGAGCCCGGGGGAAAATAAAAACATCGTCCCCGTGGCTGTGGCCCCTGGCGAGGACTCCTATGCCTCCCTGGTGCTGAGCCAATGCGACCGCTTCCCCGCGGGTCTGGGCTTGGTGTCCAGGCTACAGCTAGCCCGTGGCCCGGCCAGTGGGTTTGGGCGGGCGCGAAAGGGATCTGTGGCGCAACATAAATGAACGAAATCCCAAAATGGCACCAAAAGGTAAAAAGAAAGGGAACGAAGGACGAAAAAACACCTGGGGGTTTGCCCTAGCTCCTTGAACTTTGAGCCGCACACATAAATCGGCTTGCACTTTTTCTGCTTTCTGTTTTGTGCCTGGTGGAAAGTGAGACGGCTTCGATTTTGGTATGGAGTGTTCCCTCCAAAGTTTTGGTTCTGCCTTTCCTCCATTCTTTTTCTGGGGTCATTATTTTGGTTTTTGGGGGTTATCAAAGTCAGAAAATGGGGCTGTTTCCCTTTAAGCCACCACTTAGGGGGTGACTTTGAAAATGGCAAAACAATGAGGCCAGTTTTTGTTTTATTTGGGGGGGAACTGGGCGACGGGGACTTTGGACGCCAGCATTCGTGGCCTTGGTTAGGCCCGGAATTGGGTGGGTCCCATGGCAAGCCCATCCCTCACCTCTTGCGAGGTCTGCGGCTCCTGCGGCCGGTGGCCAAGTTTCTGTGGGCCACCAAGGACAGGTTGGTTCGAGAGACGGGTGGGATGGATGGCACATTGGATTTGGTGAAGCTAGCTGAACCTTCATTCGCTTCGCCCGAAAGAAGCAAACACAGCAGCTGGCTATCAAGCTTCGACACGTTTTTTTTGGCATCCAACGGGGCCGGGGTCGACAGAGCGAACTGTACCTTGATTCGCCATCAGGGGAAAAGCGTGTTCACGCTTTTCGCCAGAGGATTCCTTCGAAACGTTGGGTTTTGGATGTATCCCACCCAGATACCCAGCGTTCTCTTTTCATTTTTTGTTCTTTGGAAGGGGTTTCCCGTCAAAATGAACCATACCCAGCGCCCTTCATTATGTTTTGTTGTTGGGAGGGGGTTTCCCGTCAAAACGAACCAAGAACCGAGTGCCCGTGTTTCCCCCCGGCCTTTTTGGGTGCCCCTGCGGTCCTTGGGGCGCTTCAGGAGATCGCCTTGGCCCTGTGGCGCCCGTCCGGCGCCGGCGCCCTGCGCGCGGCGCGGGCGGTGCTGCGCTCCGCGGCTTCGCCGGCGGAGCGCTCCGCCGCGGAAGCCGCGGGCGGCGCCGCGTGGCTGGGGACGGAGCCCCGGGCCGCGGCGCAGGTGCTGCAGCAGATTCCGGAGTTTGTGCGGCTGGTGAGGGCGGCGAGCAGGGAAGGCTACCACAAGGCAATGAAAAAAAGAGAGAGAGAGAGAGAGAGAGAGAGAGCGAGAGAGAGAGAGTTGGGAAGTGGTACTGTTACCTGGTTCGCATCGAGACACAAGGCCAGCAGGAAGAAGAGAGAATTGGGAAGTGATACTGTGGTGGTGTGAACTGGTTCGCATCGAGATCGACATTTTTGTTCATGTAAGAAGGCGCATCGAGATTAATGATTAATGTATTTGTTCTTGTAGAAAGGCGAGTGTCAGACCAAAGGGCCATCTACGAGGGGCATTGTGGGATTTGAATTGCAGGTGGTGCAAGCCAACCAGCTCTTCATTCTGCTGCTGCATGATCTCGAGCATTTGGTAACGTCAGCACCAGCTGGCAAGCCCCTGCCCCTGCTCCACTTCGACACACGCGCGTGCTGTCACAGGAGTGAGGCTGCATGAAAAGCGGGAGACGTGCGTTGGAAGACATGAATTCTCAACACAACGCGAGTAAATCAGACAACCGCCACGGGTTCCTCCATTTTTTCTTTCGGAATCTCCAAAAGTGGCAGCTACAATGTTAAACCACTAGCGAATTGCAACTTTTGAAGGGGACATTTAGTGGCTGACTTTGGGAAACCACTTGGATGCCCTGCTTCCGTGCATGCGCGGGGCTTCGAGCGCTGAGTTGACGGCTTTTGGCACACATCAACGGGGGCTGAACATCAGCATCGCGAGTTGTCGGCCGAGACTTGATGCGCAAGACGGATACACCAACTTGTTTTTTCTTCAAGTCATTCTGTTCACACCCTGATGGTAAAGGGTTCCCCATGAGGCTTTGCTAGTTGCTCGTCACGAACCATGCGCCCGTGTTTGGAAGAACTGCTTGAGCAGATTGCTTCAAACCAGACGCAGCGGCAACCCGGAGCGCCAGACAAACCCAACCGGCCGGCGCAGCCAACAAAAACGGAACCCGCATCAGCAAGGCCGGGTCGCCTTACCGGCACAAACCCTGGCCGCATGGCACACCCGGGTGGCAGCCCGTTCAAGAACATGCGTTCAAAAAAGACCGAACGGCGATGACACCTCGTGCACATCGTGCACAGCACCCCGTAGCATCTCGCTGGTCGCAGGTGCTGAAGCTGCTGTTGGGCGACTTGCGCCGGGAGCTACCGGAGGAGCGGCTGAGCGTGGTGGAGATCGGCGTGGGCTGGGGAGTGACCTCCTACTACGCCATGAGCGCCGACGCCAACCTCCAGCCGGGGGCTTTAGGGGGATGAATTTTGCCGGGGCGGAGGTGGAGCTTTCTTGTGGGCGGAAAATGGGGAGCAGGGGAGCAGGGGAAGGGTGGACAAGGGGGGAACAAGAGCAATTTGCAGCGGCAAGATAAATATGGGTTCGGTCCGTTGGAACTCTTTGCTTTAATAGGAGTTTTGGAGCCAGATCCTTCCCATCAACAACTACCTTGAAGGGGCGGGTTTTTGGGTGCTTGGTGATGACCATGGCAACCTACTTTGACTGCCATACCTAAAAGCGCATAGCCTTTCCATCCCATGCCATTCCTATCAGCGCAATGCCCCACATGGGCGGTGACGGTTCTAGCCTTGGACTTGCCAGGTGGCCAAAAGTGTCTTCTTCTTCTTGGTGTTTGTGGTGTCCGCCACGGTGGTTTCCCTCTTTCCAGGTACCTGGGCATCGACCCCCACGTCTACCCCGGGAAGCAGGCGGACGCGGTGACGGCGGTGCCGGGCTGGGCGCTGTCTGCCGCGGCCTCGGCGAGGCTCATCTACGAGCGCCTGGGGGGGCAGCTGATCCGGGGCTTGAACGAGCGGGTGGCCAAAAGGCCGGGGAGGAGAAGGGGCGGGGGGGGGGGGGGGATGGGGTTGGGGTGGGGTTCCACCTATGTTCTTTTTTTTGGTTGGAAAAAGGGTCCTTTTTGGGGTGTAGAATGGAAAAAGAGGGAAAGCCGCCTATTTCGGAGGTTTCGCCTATTTTGAGACACGCCGATGTGGCTTTGATCCCCAACTAAATTCACCCCCATATGGGTGCGGCTCGGTTTTTTTTGGCTCGGGTTTGTTCTTTTTCGCCGTGAAAAGGGTCAACAGCAACCATGAATTCCATGGGTCCAACCCCCAACGAAACAAGCTTCTTATGGCCTTCAAATGTGGCCAGGGCGTCTGGTTGTGGACTGTTGGTTGAATCCAGGATAAGTTGCCCAAAACAAATCCCCTGTGGTTGCCTTACCATGACACCTGGGCACCAAAATTGCGGCTCTCCCCGCTGTTTCTGCCGCAGCCTTGAGGCTTCTTGAGGCTGCTGGAGATGAAACGAAGAAAACCCATTCAAGACAAGACCGCGGGCCTTTGAATCAGGGGATGCTTTAACCCGGCAGCCGGGTTGGCAGCGTTTCGTTGGCGACCAGACACCCGCCAGACTTCGCAATTCCAGGCTTCGCGCCACATGCCAAGTTTTTGTTGGCCTTTTTCATGTTCTGCCTATTTGTCTCTTGCTTTCTCTTTGTCTTTGTTTCTCTCTTTTCACATGTTTCACATTTCCTTTACAACTTTGTTTCACTTCTGCCCGTTTTTTTCAACCACGCGTGTCTTTTTTTTTTCTGTTTCTCTTTCTCTCTCTCCTTCTCTCCGTCAGTCTCTCACCTTGTCGTGGGGATGAAGCCGCTCACAAAAGAAACGGAGCATTTCTCTCTGCCTCTGGGCTTTCGCATGGCTTTCAGGTTTTCGCGTTCGAATTTTCCGCGGTGCCAGGGTTGCCAACGAGAGCGTCCACTTGGTCTTCATCGATGGCCGCCACGACGCCAAGTCGGTGCGGAGGGACCTGCGCTCCTGGCTGCCCAAGGTGGGAGACCTGGGTGTGGGAGGGGTCTGTCTCTGCGTGTGGTGGGTGTGGACCCTCCAAAAAGGTCAGGGTTGCGGTTGATCACTCGGGGTGCAAATCGGTTGCCACTTCTGTGATACAGGTTGGAATCCCCTCTTTTTTTGGGGGTTAGTCTTTGGGAGGCCCTTTTTGTTGTATCACGGAGGTGGATTTCATTGCCCGCAGCCCTGCTCCTAGTTCATGCCGCCTTGCCATGGCCCAGAATTACTGGTAGGTGAGTACCCTTCTTGGAGTGGTTTAAAGGGCAACCAAAGGGAAACCGCCCACTTAGAGAGAAGCCCTTTGCACCGTGGCAGGCCATGTGCTCTTAGATGCAGCTCCAAAAGTGGTTGGTCTCCCTGACTATACCTTGAACACAAAAAAAAAAAACAAAAACTAGGAGCGCGTGTTTTTCTTCTCCGCCCGAGGTGGTGCCTGGCGGCTTCGTGGTGGGCCACGACTTCAGCTTCGATTGGCCCGGGGTGGCGGAGGCCGTGTGCGCCTGGCGCGCCGGGCGCGTGGTGTCCTTCGGGGCGGATCACACCTTCTGGTGGCGGAAGGAGTAGATCCGATGCTCCGTTCGTGAGCGCAAGGCTTGCCCTGGGAGCTTCATCCGCTTGTTTTTTTTTTTTTTTTTTTTTGGGGGGGGAGCTTTTTGGAGCAGGCGGCTGTTTTTTCTTAAGCCCAAATGGTTTTTATAAGAACAAGTCCATTCAACGAAGGAAGGCGGGAAAAGGTGGGGGCTTTACAGGGAGACAACAGGAGAAGACAAACACAATTTTTTGGGTTTACCCTAAAACGGTGTGGTTTTAGAGGGAAGCACAAGGATAAAGCATTTCTTTTGGGGGGGTGGCCCCTAAAAATGGTTTTTCTAGGGTTCCTTGCCCCCATAAGAATGGCCCTGGGACTCAATTTCGATGAGAGTTAGGGGAACACTTGTGGTGACATGAACCCAACCATTGTTTTAATGGTGGTTTGAGCCTTAGGGGTGAGATCCCATGATCTAACCTTCCACGGAAGCTGAGAGAGGAATTTGTGGGGAGTTTGTTCATTTGAGTCACGTGCTCAAAACCGATTCGGGGCTTGATGATCCGGTTAGGGGACGATCCCAACCGGAAAACAGCTTCGGAGATCCGCCTTCTTAATTCCTTACATGGCTCTGGGTAGACCAGTCTAATACCGGGTTTTGATTGTGACTCACTTGGGGCTCAATCCCAAGGTTGCCTTCGCCCTCGGGTTTGGAAGGAGTCTTATGGGGCGAGGGCTTAGAGTGCGCCGGCCCAAAGGATTTGGCCGGCGAAAATGGCGGGCAAAAGAAAGGCCGAAGGTCAAAAGGGGGAGCAGGACGTGTGGAACGTGTTTGAAAGCTGGCACAAGCAGCTGGACAGTGGCAGACAGTGGGGGGTGACCTAGGTCAGCACTTGTTCTTGAAACATTCCAAGGTGATTCATCGCGTGCGGCAGTATTTTTGCATTGTTTTGCACCATCAGCTGTGAAAACGTTCCATCAGCAATATTAGACGCGCACACACACACACACACACACTCCCACACACACACACACACATTAATACAAGAACAAACACACAACGAACAAACCAAAAGAGAAACAGAACAACCAAGCACAAACAAGAACAACCAAACATAAACCAGCACACGCAAGAACAACCATCGCACGCAAACACAATCAACAACAATCACACAAACACACAAAGCAAACAACAAGACAAACACAATCAACAAGCAACAAACAAAAGCAACACAAGCACAAAGACACCAAGGAACCTAAACAAAACGAAACAACGGAAATGTAAGCAGCACACACCATACAAACACATTTGAACAACAAAACAAGATGGCCGATCACAAACTAAAAGCGAAAACACATCAACAAACACAAAATAAACTACAAGCACAAGCAAACAGACCAAGCACAAACACATAGACAATACACAAACAAAGCAAACAAAACAACACAACACGAAATAGCGAGAAGCAAACAACAAAAACAATCAACGCCAACCCCAAACACACAAACAGAAACAATATTCTGTGGGTGCCTTCAACGTCGTATTGGCTGGAAGTCGGCTGGACAAGAGGGATGTCTTTAATCGCGGGTTTCATCGGATGCTTTTTGGGGGACCAGTTGCAGTCTCGGTGGACAATTGGCCGAGGCTCCAAAAACCGGTACCAAAATGAAACCCTAGTAAGTGGAAACATGGACCAAAGCCTGCGGTTTGCCCCTCCTGTTTAGTTTTGAGCCACACCCAATTGGGTCTGGGCCTGGATTTGTGTGGAGGCCGAAAGTGGCTCAGCTCGTTGCCGCTGTGGCCTTTGAGATCAATGGACGCACCACAGCAACAAGCACCTCAACAAGCCTCGAAGATGCTTGGGCTCACTGGCCTGCGGAAGAATTTTTGAGCTTGTGACTGTTGCTCTCGCCAAGATCTTGTTAGATTGAAGCTTGTATAGCTCAAAGGCTTGGGTTGCAGAGAGTCAGTGTCAGTGTCAGGCCTTTCTTTGGCCATAGGGAAGCGGTAGTTTTCCCAGCTGCGCCCCATGCGCGCTTGCGCTGCATGGCAGGCGTGAGGGGGGGGGTCACAGTGGCATTATGATAGCTCTTCTAGTTCAGGGGGGAGGTTCTGTAGGAACTCACTCAAATGGTTGTCCTATACAACAAACCCCAGTCAAAGCAGAGTGGAATGACATGCGTGAGGGTTACAGGTTTCTGCCGACGGCTTTCTGCGCTCAATGTTAGCTGGAGTCGGGAAGTAGGTCCGAACGGGGCGAGGGTTCTCATTGTCTCCAATCATGGTAAGACCGCCTGTTTGAAGGTAGCACGCGCGCGTGCGTGCAGTGGCAGATGTCGCTGTGGCCGAGGCACAAAAGAGTCACACAGACATCACTCACGCACAGACACGCACAGAGATGCAGGGCCCCAGCACCCTCATAGCAAAAGAACACGCAGAGAAAAAGAGGTGCGGACGGACGGACGGACGGACGGACGGGACGGACAAACCTTCAAGGGCCCTTTGTGCATCATCTCGGCCTTGGCCAGTTGACACGCAGCCTGCCAGGCTCGGTGGATGAATGGGGAAGGAGGAAGTGCTTGTACTTTGCGTTGTCATGCTGTGTACATTTGTTGTGCCGGTGCATGTGGGTGTCGCTCACCAGAACTGCTTTTTGGGAGGTAGTTGCGATTCTACTACGTGAAAGGGCGCTATCTAAACAGAAGCAGAGGGAAATGGGTCTGTCTCTGTTAAAAGGGTACCCCTGCTTTGTGGCTTTCAAAGGGAAACCAAAAGACAGCGGCTCAAAAGATGCAAGCCCAATGGTTGGAGATGTTTTTTCGATGGTTGCAGCTGCGGGTGCCTGCACCGCCTCCCCGCCAATCAACTTCTCAAAAGTCATGGCCCCAACTTCTCTCTGCTTCCAGACGGCGAAAAACGGCCCTTTGGAGGCCTCGAAGCATTGGCTTGAAGCTATTTCTCCCCCTTGAGACGTCCTAAACATTTTGTTTTTTGACAGACTCAAAGAGGCCGAGGGGGCCGAGGGGTTTAAGCTTGGCTTTCCTGAACCCTTGGACCGCATTTTCATGCGGGTCTGGCGACTTGCAACAAAAGAATGGCTTCAGCCAAGCGCAAACTCTTGAAGCACTTGGCCGACGTTTTGTGGCGCCGAGTGATCCGCATTTTGATGACTCCAACGATTCGGAGTCCTTGGGGTCAGGTGCGGGCAACCATATCCAGAGAGCCGGGCTCAGGACAGGCGCCCCCCCAAAAAAAACAAGTAATTCGTTCAGATGGTTGTGACGGGGGGAGACTGCCAGAGTTGTTCTAGCGCGCCTTGTTCTTTTTCTCTTTTCTTTCTCCGCAACTTAGAGAATCCGGTGTTTCCCCAGGCACAGCTTTTAGGGTAGAACGGAGTGGAACCACCCAAGTTCCCAAGGCCGCTTGGCTGTGGCCAGACAGAAAAAGGGCCAAAGAGAAAGAAGCCGGGCTTCCGGCTTAGCAGGCTTTTGGCCTGCTTCCTGCGCCACATGCCACCACGGCTGACTAGGGCGACTCTTTTGCAGGGTCCCGCCTGGGAGTGTTTGCGTTGATGAAGCTCTCACATTTGCACTAACCACCGGTCAAATGAAACCATCAACCTTGGCAACCAAATACTGGAACCAAATATGCGATGTTCCGAAATTTGGTTTAATTCACTTGATGCTGGAACCGATGTTTGGTTGAGCTCCATGTAACCAGATATTGGAACCATCATGAGGCCGTTTGGGTTCATACCGAGTATTAGAAACCACAATACTACAACCAAATCCAACCATCAGGAAACTCAAGGGTTTAGTTCCAAAACCCAAAACCCAACCCCAAAACCCAAACCCCAAACCCCCAAACCCCAAAACCCCAAATGGCGGTGGATCAAAACCAATGGTACCATTTTGAAAATGCTAGGTGAATTCACCACCCATTTTAGTCTAGTGGGGATTGAATCGGATGTTCACTGGGGGTACGGGATCGGGATTTTGACCCATGGCCATGTCAACCCCGGATCTAAGTAGAACCGCTGGTTGATTTTGATCGGAGGGTGTCCCCTTTCAGTGGGGATTCAGACCACTCAAAGCCCCAAACCCAAAACCCCAAATCTGAAATCCCCAGACACCCGCTCCGACTGTTTGTTCAGGCAGCGGCCCGTGACCCGGGCGCAGAGCGCCGCGCGGTCCAGCCGCGCGCACCTCGCCGGCGACTGGAGCTGGAGCGTTTTTTTTTTTTTTAGACCAACGAAAAATTGTTTACCAACCAACAGGGCAACCAAAAGGACTTTCAGGTTTTGAGTCCAGCCAACCAAATGGTTTTTGTTTATTTTTTGTTTCAGGTTTTGACTCCAGCCAGAAGGACTTTCGCAGGTTTCGCAGGTTGAAATGGGTGTTGCTCCATCGAAACACTTGCCAACCCCAGAAACGGTGTGTGTGTGTGTGTGTGTGTGTTGTGTGTGTGTTTTTTTTTTTTTTCCGCCAGCGTTGGGTAGCGGAATGATTCTTGGATGAGGGGATGTGTTGACCTTTGCTCATGCAAGAGCCGGGTTCTATTGATGTCTGACTTCGCCACTGTAGGATACTGTGAGGAGGATAGATGACTCTCATTTGTCCGGCCGTGGCTTGCAAGCTTGAGGAGATCTGTCCCTCCCATCCTTCCCATGCTTCCCATGCCTCCCATGCCTCCCATGCCTGCCATGCCTGCCATGCCTGCCATGCCTCCCATGCCTCCCATGCCTCCCATACCTCCCATGCCTCCCATGCCTCCCATGCCTCCCATGCCTCCCATGCCTCCCATGCCTCCCATGCCTCCCATGCCTCCCATGCCTCCCATGCCTCCCATTCCTCCCATCAACTTGCCGGTGTGTGAATCGTATGCCCAGACTTCTCCATCCTTCCATGCTGTTGCGATTTGGGTATGGGTCAAAATTAATCCACCAGGGGACCGCAGGTTTTAGTTCCTGTTTCCACTTACCAGGGTTCCATTTTGGGTACCTATGTTTGACCTACAGACATTTTTGGCCACGCCTCCCCCAACCAATTTGCCCGGCGCCAGGCCCGCCGCCAAAGCAGTGAAGACCCCGTGCGCCAGAGGGCGTGCTGCCGGGGCGTTCGTGGCTGGGCTTTGGGGAAGCAGATGTGGCTCAAAATTAAGCAGGCGGGGCAAACAGAAAGGTTTTGGTACCCATGTTTCCACTTAGGGCAACCCATTTTGGAAATCCGGTTTTTTGAGCCACAGCCAGATGCACCAGTCTTTTACGTGGGGGGAATCAAAAGGACACCAATAATTAGTGCCTAGGGGACCCTTTTGAGAACAGATCCCCAAGAGAGATGGAGGATGTGCACTAGAGCGACCACCGGAGAGCTGAGGGATTTGATCTCTCTGTTTCAACGAGGCGTTCTGCAATGCCTTTCGGTTTCACTTGCTTCCCCTTTTTTCCAACAAGGCACGATTCCTATGGCCGCGCCGGGATTGCTCTTGGCATGTGAAGCCAGGAAGTTCTGCGAACGGATCCAACATCGCGGGGCGTTTTTGGTCCCGCTCAAACATGGAAAGAGGTGGACACGTGAACAAGAACGGTGGCACCACTCCAGCCGCGGAAGGTTTGGAGGGAACTCTTTCTCCGCGGGTTTCTCGCCTCGAAGCAAAAGGCGCTAGCGGCGCAGAAGTGGTTTGATCTCGTCGGAAGGCACTGTTATGAAACAGAAGGTGCCCTTCATGCCACGGCCTCGCGGAAGGTTTCGCAGGGGCCGATACGTACATTCGAAAGAACTCCACTGGCAAAAGGCAGAGCTAAGGCAGCCAATTTGGAAAATTCCCCTATGGGCACATTGGGCAAGCAAAGATCTTGACAGGTACCCGATCCCCGGGGATGTGGGCTACTACCAGCGCTGGCGCCCCAGAAAAGCACGCCTTGATTGTAAGGCAGTTTGGTCAGTTCTGCTGAACAGAGATAGATTCCACTGGTTTTGATTTGGTGAAGAAGTCATTTACCAGGGCCACCTAGGTCCGGGCTGGTTTTCCCTGGCTGAAATGGGCATCAAGCCTTTGGAGGGAATCACCACCGTAACGCCACGGAGCTTCTTTTCGCGGCATTGGCGAAAAGGCGAAACGAAACACCAGACGGGATAGGCTCTTCAACGCCCGTGCAAGCCCGTCCTAGCAACGTATTTGAAGTGACAGCTTTAGCACGGCCAGACTCAACAAGTCTGCGCAAGATTCATTTCTTCAAAGAACATGAGCGGATCAATCAGGAACCCCCCCCTTCCCACTCATGAATCGGCGCGGCCATGTGGTGTCTCTCCAGACCAAGATGGGTTTCATTTGCCGTGTATCCAGTCGATTTCAGCAATCACTGGCAAGCGCCCAAAAACAAGGAGCCCCTTTGTTTGGAGCTCGACTTTCATTTTTCCCATCATAGGGGCTCCCTTTCGACTGCAGCAATCCGCGTTTAAAGCGCGGATTGCCATCCGCGCTGAAGCGCACGACACCGGCCCTTGGGGGTTGCCTCAAGCTAGGGGACTCCCCAACTCGTGGGTTCCCTGTTGGTTCATGTTTATGGGGTGGCTCCCATCCACCTGCGCTTCTTGGATCTTAGAGTTTAGTCGTTGGGTTTCCGAAATCAGCCAAGTTAAAACAACGCGTGGATCCGAAAACGGAGAGCCCCGGATTTTTCTGCAGTTACCGGACCGCGAGGGAACCCATAGAGGACAAGCCACCGGGGGCGCCTTCAGCTCGAAGTTACGCGAGGCGCGGACGTCAAGGGCCGCATCAAGAAGCCCAAGCTGGACAAAGACATGGCCAAGCTCCGGGTGCGACTACCAGGGGGGGCTCGTGGGGGTTCGTGGCAAGGGAGGGGATGTTTTGTTTTTTTGGTGTGTGTGTGTGTGTGTTTGTGGATCTCACTTCCCTGAGCTCCGTACAAAAGATCGTTACATCCTTTTTGGGAATACCATTTTTTGCAAGATAAATAAGAAGTTCGGACGGTTTCTGGGCCATCCACTGGGAAAGTTCGGGATGTGAGGTGCCTTGCATTGACTGCCGAACCTTCCAAGACCTTGGCCTTGCACCTTCCGGGATCTGAAAGGCTCCCATTTGCTTCCCCAGAAGTAGCTCCCCTTGTCGCCTTTTTGCTTTGTTGGGGTTCCTTTGTTTTCCACTAACCAGGCAAAAAAGATATTTTTTCGCTGGGGTCCTAATTCCAGTCTGGTTTGGGCGTAGAGGTTTGGCAGGGCAGACCATTCCTCCAGTTCCACCACTTGCTCCAGAGCCTTCTGCATGATAGAGTCAAAGTTTTCCTGGCGTCTTTTTCGTTGTGGTCTCCGACAGTCTCTTTGGCGCATGTTGCTTGGATGTTAGGACTTTCACTTGTTGCCAACTAATGGGGTTTTCCATCAAACCACTACAAGCTAAAGACTTTTGGCAGGGGAGCAGAAAGCACCCCTGAGGAGTCTTGTTGCCTTCATGACCAAACTAAGAGGTGAGAGACCCTTCGACCGCCACTTGAAACGCGTTTGTTCACCCTGGAGACCTTTTTCTTTTGGGGGGTGGGGGGGTGGGGGGGGGACCAAGCACCGCAGTTTCGACGCGGGCCTCTGCTGTTTTCACACAAACCAAACTCATGCTTGGCCAAAGACTTCCACTCCAACCGGATTCCTGCAAAAGGGCTTGCCTTCAAAATGAAAGGTCGAACAGTGGCATCGTTCGGGGACCAAAGACAACTTTGGAAAACCAGACCACTTTTGACACCACTTCAGACAGTTTTTTCCGTGACATGCCAGCTCCCCGCCACGGGAAAGGCAAGAGGAATCCGCTCTGTTGCGCTCTGTTGAGCAGACGTCACGAAACACACACAAATGGCTTGTGAAGAGTGGCCACCAAATCCGTTTGTGCTGCAGGCATTTTCCATACTGTCAGACAGCAACAGATGCCCGACGCGTCTTTTTCCGCCAAGTCACGAATGCTTGAGCGAGACTACCAACTGTTGCAAGCAATTGGAGCAGGAAGCTTGTGCAGGCTTCTGAGACTGACTTCCTGAGTTCATGAACTTTAAACTTTTTGGGAAGACCATTCTAGTGGTAAATATACAGTTTGGACTTTGTTGGGGCCATCCACTCAGCCAGTGAGGAGAGGTCTCCCAATCCCTTCCCTCCAAGATCCGAGATGAAATGCTCGGCGGAGCCAACCTGGTCATCATTTTTCTGGGCCGGTTTTGAGCCTCACGCGGGCATGGGTCAAAATTCAACCACCAGGATATGGACCGCAGGTTTTGGTCCAATTGTTTCTATGTGCCAGAGTTCCATTTCGGGGCTACCCTATTTTCGACCCACACCCACATTAATTGACCACTTCTGCCGCTTTTTGGCCACGTGGGGCCCCGGGGGTTTCCCCAAAACCCCCGGGACGCCCCGACACCCAGAGCCTGCCTTCCAGGACTTGTTCACCTACTGCGAAGTGGCCAACTTCCGGGAGGCCGACCTGGGCCGATCTGGGCCAATGGGTCTGGGGCTGGGGCTGGGGCTGGGGCTGGTCTGTGCTTGGATGTGTCTGGATGTGTTTTGGTGGTTGGGTGGGCGGCGGGTTTGTGATGTTGGAGAAAGCCTTTGAAAACAATGGGTGAGTTGGTGTGTGTGTCCACTCCATATTGTTGCGGTCCCTACGTTTGTGATTCCCTGTCGAGCTTATTGTACGTTTCCTTCTGATGACTTTTTGAGTTGGTATATATATATATATATATCTATGTTTTCGTCTTGAAGGTAAGGATAGCGCTTCCGGAACTTGCCAGCCACAGCCGCTTGCAATCCTCCTTATTGGGCGGATGGCCCAGCAATTCAGGAGCTCGCCTTCTGGTATTCTAATGTATACAACCACTACGCAGCTACATCCGAATCTACATCCCATTTTCCCCTTAGCGGTTTTGCACGGAGGTCCTCCCAAACGCCAGAGAGAGATAGCCTCAACTCCAATGCCCGAGAATCAAGGTAATGTTCATCTAGGACCAGCCAAAATGGTTGGTTGACATTTGTTTTCTTGTCCAATAGCGAACCCCCCCCGGACTCACCCAGGCTTGGAAGAGAAGTCCCCTGCTTCGATGGCAGTCGGGTTCAAGTCTCGTCCCCGAACTTAAGGGCAAGATGAAACTCCGGCGGGAGCACTGCCGTGCAGTTCCTTTCCTGAAAAAGATCCGGAGATTTCCCCACTTGAGTCCCGGGCTCGCCCGCCTGCTGGAAGGTGCGGGCGATGGTGTCTCACTACCCCTACCTTCTAGGCCTCACAGACGCGCACGGCTTCTCTGCTGGGGGCTGAAGGAGAAGGAGGGTGAACTGCCGTGGAAAGCTGGTTCGTTTGGGCGTGTGGCGTTTGGAGGGTACCTTTTTTTTTGGGGGGGATTTTGAAGGGAAGCCAGAGGGCCGTTTGGGGGTGGTACTTGCTGGGATCTCGCAGAAAATTGGTTCCAAGGTACTATTTGGGGTTCCTAACCCGTTTGGTGGTTTCAAAGCGCTCACACGGGTTCCGAATGTCAACATGTTGTTCCAAGGTGGTCTTTGAGCCTTTGAGCGCGAATGAGATTTCAACCCGGTGAACTCACTCCAAGAATGTTGAAGCCATTTGCCGACATCCGAATTCCATAAACTCCGATTGGTCGTGAGCGTTCTGGTTGCAGTTCCTACCATGGCGGAAGGCAGTTCCTAGGGCTCGTGTCGACGTAGCGGTCTCAGGGCATGGGATTGCAAGTGTGACACCTTCAAGTCTGGCCCTGTTGGACGACTTTGATTGGACAAAGGATTCGCTGTGAAAGAGAATCCTCTCTTTTTGAGAGGCCCCATCCAAAATGCGCCGCTTCCTCTTCTTGCTTCTGCCTTCTGAGGCTTTGCACCACGCAGTGATGTCTGGGGACTCCCTGTTCATCTCTAAGGCCGGCATGGGAGTTTCATCGCGAGCGGACATTGGGAGGTGCCACTTGGGCACATGCCGGCTAAGCTTAGCGACCCCGCTTCACTCGGAAAGCAATCTTGGACTGAGGTGCAGGAGTTTTGATCATTTTGATCCCATCCCTAGGTTGGATGCCCCCATCCCTAGGTTGGATGCCCCCATCCCCAGGTTGGATGCCCCATCCCTAGGTTGGATGTCCCTCTGAAGACGCGTGGTGAAGGCTGTTCGGCTGAAGTACCCGTTTTGTGGAACGCACGGACGCGAGGTCGCCTTCGATGAAGCAAGCTGGGTGCTCTTTGGCTTGTTGCTTCAGTTTTTTGACTGTGTGAGGGCATAGGATCCAAAGAGCCAAGGGGTTGCTGAACCTTGGATCCCTTCATTTTCCAGACACTCGAAAGGCCGTGTAGCTAGAAGGGCCAGGGGTCGTGGACAAGTCTCAGTTTGAGTTGGCGCCTGCAGCCTCCTACGGCTCCGACCGGTAGACTTCATGGCAAGCGGATCCAGTATTTTCTCTCCTTTGTGTTTGATGTGATTCAAAGAGGGCAACACAACTCACATTCACAAAAACAACAAGCACCAAGCAAACCCCGAAAAAACACACGGTGAGAGGTGTTTGATGCTATGTTTCTGGCCTTTCTAAGGGTCGCTTGAGCATCGAAGTGATCTCGCCGCTCTCCCGGCCAAATGTTTTTGAGAGAGCTGGATACGATTCATAGATGAGCACGGCACCATTCGTCGCTGCCATGTTTTCAAGACTGGAAGTGCCGAGGGGTTTTCTCCAAAGTGGTCTTCCAAAACCCTCCTGTCAGCTTCCATGATCGGGTGTGGCTTAGTACCATTAAAACAAGAAACATGGCAACACGCGGGTGGGTGGGGGGTGGGGGGGGTTTTGAGTTGCCTTTTGAATACCAACGTCACAAGGTGTCCGAATTTGTTGCCGGCCTGCCGACTTTTCGCAGGTCTTAGAGCTCTATCGGGATCCCAAGACCTTCTCCCTGAAGAATCTCGTCTATGAGACCGAGGAGGAGTCTTGTCGGCTTGCGCGGAGTTTACGTCTGCTTTCATGCTCATACAAAGGGTCTCATAGCTCAGTTGAGCGTACGGCTAATCGCAAGGTTTTGTGGAAGAGAGGCCAACCGTAATTCGGATCCAAAGCATCACGCCTACATGGCTGTGGGTCAAAACCAATGGTACCATTTTGGGGTAGGTGCACCACCCATTCTAGGCTATTTTAGTGGGGATTGGGATGTTCACTGGGGGTACGGGGTTTTGACCCATGGCCACATCCGTACACCTGTTTTCTCCAAAGTCGGGGCCCTCTTTTCGCCGGGTGCGAACAGCAAAACGGGGCGAAAAGCCGCCGATGTTCGGCGGCCCGAGTTCCGCTTCAGGAGCTGCTGAGGGACATGGAGCTGGGCGTTAAGGCGGGCCAAGGAATCCCAGAAATCAGCGTCGCTCACGTGCTGAAATGGCCGTGGCTGTGAAAAAAAAGGGGTAACCCCAAAACGGAACTCTGGTAGACGGGAACAAGGACTCAAACCTGCGGTTTTCCAGTGGTTTGATCTTGATCCATATCCAAATTAAAGATTGGAGGGCCTGAACTAGAGTGGGGTCGGGTGCTTGAAATCAAGTTTGGTACGAGTTGTGAAAAAACCAGGAAACAAACCACTTTTTCTTGGGGGGCGGGGTTCGCTTGTAGACGAACCTACACGGCCTCCACCGGCCCCGAATTGTTGCAACCACGTCAAAGCTTTGGTTTGGGCGACGTCTCCGATCCGGCGGCGGCTCCGGATTTCGTTTCTCAGTTGTTCAAAGCGAATCGACCTTTTGACCTTTTGGTTTCTCCTTCTTGGTCTAGTTTTAGTCATGAACTTAAAAGGTTTTCGCCTTTTATTTCTGGGTCCTTTGGGCAAGTGAGTTTGCAGAGAATCGAAGCCTTTTGGGTTCCCTTGGAGTGCAAATGAGCCACACTCAAAACCGATTCGGGTAGATGATCCGGTTTGTACGGGAGGATCCCAGCCCGTAAATAGCTGCGGATATCCGCCTTCTTAGTTCTTGAAGCATGGTTCTGGGTGCACCATTTTTGGTACCGGGCTTTGATTTTGACTCAAACGGGGGTTGATCAACCTTCCTGGCGACCAACAAAAAAAACCAATGCGTCTTTTCCCATGGAAGTGAAGGCCATCGATGGGTGGTTTCCCTGGGCTCCTAAAAAGAAATCCATGTTGCAACCATTTGAAACATGTTGCTGGCTTTTTCAACACCAAAAGTAAAGTTGGAAACCGCCATTTACAAGTCGCAATGTTCAGGTGTATCATGCATCCGGATCTGTGTTTCCCTACTGGTCCTCCCACGTTTGGAGCTTTGGATCAACCTTCCCACGTGTCTTTGGTCGCCGCTTGCCAGGTGGTGGGCCGAAAGACTGAGGACTCGGAGGCCTCGCGAAGCTGCCGAATGAAAAAACCCGCCGTTTCGGGGGGGCTCAACAAAAACAGGGACACACACCGAAGTCGCCGCAGCGCCCCAACATCAGCGGAGCATGGGTTTTCTCGCACCTCCTTTCCGTGTCGCTTTGGGACGCAAAGGAGCCATGGCCCAAACATGGTTCAACCTCGCGAGGTCTCGCTCCGAGAAGTTCCGGAGACTTTTTGGCAATGAACACACATGCCAGGTGTCGTGAGCTTTGATGTGTTACCAGCGCCACGTTTGTCAGGGAATGGCTTTGTGCCCTGTGAGAGCCAAGGTCCAAAGTTCGACTACCGTAAAAGACATGGAAAAGCGGGCCAGTTCCCTTTTTGGTCGCTCCCAAGTGAGCAAAAAGCATCTGTCTGGGGCATTTGAGCTTCTTCAACTTTCCACCTTTCCGCCTTGCAGAAAATGGATGCTATCTTTGGGTATGCGTTGAGCAAAAATGCAGGGGACCCCTCCAAATGGGTGGTTTCCCTTCTCTCCCCAAAAACGAACCCGCGAAAAGGGTACCGAGCCTCGAAGGGAAACCAAACAGAGATTGACCCACACAGACACATCCGGCTGGGAATGCGGCTCTGACCCCCCACCATCCTTTGCGGTTTTCTGCCCAAAAACTCTCAGAAAGCAACAAGCCAGTAGTTTTTGGCAGCCGGCTCTCTCGGAGCCGTGTAACTGTCATCGAATCTGAGTCTTGGGGTTGGGGAGGGGGGTGGGGGGTGGGGTGGGGGGGGGGGCCAATGAATGCGGCGCTTCTCTGTTGCGACCACCTGTGCTTGGGGTGGGGGGTGGGGGGTGGGGGGGGGGCGAATGAATGCGGCGCTTCTCTGTTGCGACCACCTGTGCTTGGGGTGGGGGGTGGAGGGTGGGGGGGGGGGCCAATGAATGCGGCGCTTCCATTTCTGCTGTCATGTGCACCATAGCCGACGGAGCCTCCAGCCTAGGTCATTTCAGCTTCTTCTCGTGTAATCCAAGCGTTCATTTTCGCATTATGTTTATGCGTTCCAACAAGCGGGATTTTGGGCATATTTACTACGTATGTTTCTTCCAGCATCCCACATTCCTCGGCCATGCAAAATGAGCCGGCCTGCTAGCACACTTGGAGCACAATGTGGAATTTGCTGGATTCCTTATGGAAGCATATGAAACGCTGGCGCCCTGAGAGCCTGCAGCAAAAGCTGAAAAAAGACAGCCGCTGCAATCCTCTCATTTTTGATTGGGCCTTTAGTTTCGTTGCAAAGCACAATGCGAAGGCATTGAGCTCAGATCCGCAAAAGTTTCTGGCCAAGGCTCTTTGGGATTAGTCGCGCGCAAGACACGCAAGAGTATAAAGTGCGGGAGGCGCGCGGCTGACAGGTCCACAAATTAGGTCAAAAACGAACTTTTCGGGGACCCCCTTTGCACAGCCCATGTCGCAAGAAGTTTGAGTCAAATGAGGCAAACAACACCGCAAATACCAGTGAATTTGCCTTCTCGCACTTCAAAACACGCAAAATGCTGTCGGTGACAGTTACACGGCTCCCAGAGAGCCGCTTGCCTAGTTTTTGTGCGAGTTGAGACTCGGCCTTTTTCTTTTTCAGGGGATTCGCGGCCCTTGTTGATTCCATCTGGCCTCAAGAAGCCTCGAAACCTCACGAATCCTCAAGAAACCTCATAGCTCACTCCGCACATCAATCAACATGGGGCACGGCTGAGTGATCCTCAACCTCAAAGAAAACTGGGGGGGGTGGGGGGTGGGGGGGGTGATCAATCCACTCCACAGATTAATCAATGCAGTTCATCTTGCTGGTGCGATAGGTACGGTTGAAGGGAATGAGAAATAGAATGAACCGGAAGGGGATTCCCGAATGAAGGAAACCACAAAAAAAAGGTGTATATTCGGTTCAGACTCCATTTCTCATTCAATGTATGTTTTCTTCTTTTTTGTTTCTTCTTTTTTTCCGGAGTCAGACTCCAGCGATGGCGTGTGTCAACTTCGCGGAGCTTTGTTCGCTCGGGTCTCCGAGCGGCTGTCTCGCAATCGGGCTCCAAGCGCCCACCTTCCAGGGCAGCTTCCCCTTGTTCGAGCGAGACACGCCCCCCGTTCAGAAACGACTCGCGCGGGGCGAGGCCGGCGGGGCCAAGTCTGCGCTCCGTTGAGGCCACGGTGAAGGTGATGTCCATTGGCCCGGGCAGCAAGGCCGAGGAGGCGGGGCTCATGCCCGGGGACGACCTGGAGGCGGGCGGCTCCGCGGGCTCCGGGGCAAGGCTTTGGAGAGGCGAGTGGGAGTCATGCAACCAACCGCTTTTGGGTGGGGTGTGTGTGTGGAGGCTCCGGGTGGTTTTGAAGGGACGCCAAAAGGAAATCCAAGCAAGCCAACCCACCTACCAACTCAAAGTCAAGGGACTCCTCTTCAAAGTTGTGGAGCTGGCCATTTCGCCCGGACGTCGGCAGGTTTTTGGCAGGTGTATGGGCCAATTTCCTGAAACTCCTGCTGGTTTTTGTGAGGAATCCGATTCAAAGCTGGTCAAGTGAACTTCCCAGTACCCTCAAGTGAAGAAGGCGTGGGATTGGCAGTTTGGGGCAGTTTGCGTCATTTCCCACAAGTGCTGCCTTGCGACGCCTTGCGTGAAACGAAAGTGGGGGAAGCTATTTTCAGCCTGACAAAACACGCCTCTCTCGTTCGACTCAAGCCAGCCGCGAAAAGTCTTGGAGCTCTACTTGCCGGCTCCAACAGGTGGGATGTTCATTCCAGGCCGACGAGCGGCTGGTAGGTTTTTTCAAGCAAACCGTCTCGCCTCAATTTGCGCACATTTGGGCCATGTGCCGTTTGTAGATTCGAAGCCCTGCTAAATAGGAAGCTACCCATAAGCCGGACCTCCCAAACCAATCCACGCCACGAGAAGCGGAGGTTTTGGGACGTTTGTTACGAGAAAACAGAAGACTTGTCCACCCCCCCAAGCCACCCAGAAGGAAACCTGACAAATTCCCCTCCCTCCCCCCCCAAAACACCACCCCAAAAACGCTCCAGGGCCTCCAAAAAAAATCCGCGCCTAAGCCTTCCGAAGCACAGGCCTGCAGCGGCACGGGGTTCCTCAGCTACCGTCAGCCTCCGCCTATCTCGCTGGACGTCTTGGAGTCCCTGCAGTGGGGGGGCCATAGATTCGGTCGGTCAGGGGCGAAGGGAGGGAGGGCGTCTAAAATTTGTTCTGCGAGAAACCCTGTGCCTTTGGTTTTATGGGAAAGCAACAGGAAACCAACCGCTTTGAGGGCTTGGTTGTCTAGTCTACTGGGCCAGTTAATTGGGGACCCTCAGGTGGACATCATGTGGGTTGGGATCAGTGTCCAACCATTTGGATTGCATTCCTATTATTGACATTCATGGCCAAGTGTTGCTTTGGATCGGGCGTGGCTTTGTGTTTAAGCCGGAAGCATCGTTGCACTTGACTTTGGAACAAGTCAACATCTGCTGCACATTAGCTTGGCGTCGAGGGGAAGATGTGGTTCATCGCATGCCTTTGCCGCTCGCGAGGGCCTTTCAAAACTGAACCTACAGTAAGCCATCGTAGCTCCTTTCAGCAAGCACACCAAATTGTTGGGGGCTTGCCGGAGGGATGTCCCAGCCGAAGATGTCAGCTTCAAATCAAGCATGATCCCCTCACACCCGAAGGCCAATGGATCGACAGAAACACGGGTCTGCTGGATCTCACAGCCCCTTGCAATGGGTCAAACGGTTGGTTTTCAGATGGCAGCATTTGGGCTGTCTAAAGCGCAGTGGGACATATCCTCAAAACAGGGGACTTCCTTTTTAAGGGCCTCCAAGGACAAGCTCTCTGAAGGTGCAGGGTGTTGTTGCTTAGTTGCCAAGGAGTCGAGAGGAACCCTTTTTTTTGAAGGGGGCCCCTCTTGTTCGGCCAGGGGAACCGCTCCATGTTTCGGTTCTATTGGGAGAAACCTGGGCTTGGGGCTCATAGGATTGTGTGCTTTGATGAAGTCGGTTTGGTCAAGGCTTCTGGTTGGTTTGGGATTCCTGGGTTCACATGGTTGGCGCTGGGACACATTTTGCTTTTTTTTTTTTAAATTGTGGTTTAGTGTTTAGTGGGAAATCCCCACTTAAACTGCTAGAATTCAAATTTGTGCTCCCCTAAGCCAACGTCATTCCTGGGTTCATTCCATTTCTTCCCTGAGAACCAGCAAGTGGTCGGATGCAATGCAAGTCGTAGGTCCAGGCACGTGTCCACCAGCTTCGGCTTCCCGGTGACCATGGAGTTCCGCGGGACCGATGGGCGGCGGGGACCGAGGGGTCGAGCTGCCGATTCTTTTTTCGGTTGGGATGGGTGAGGTGAACCCCGGATTAAGCAGAACCCTGGTTGATTTTGAGAGATGGGGTGTCCCCTTTTGGTGGGGAACCCCGGATGTAAGGCAGAACCCCTGGTTGATTTTGATTTGTTGGGGGGTGTCCAATTCCTTTTAGTGGGGATTCGCCATTCACCCCCGGGAATGTGGCAGTGGTTGTCAAAGCCGTTTTGGGATTCCGTTTTGGTTGGTTTTCGGTGAATTCACCACCCATTTTGGAACCTATTTTAGTGGTTGGATTGGGATGTTCACTGGGGGTACAATTTGGATTTTGACCCATGGCCATGTTAACCCCAGATCTAAGGTAGAGCCGCTCGTTGATTTTGAGAGATGGGGGTGTCCCCTTTTAGTGGGGATTCATACCACTTTTTGGGGGGAACACCACCCCCCCCCCCCCCCCCAAATGAGACGAGTTTGTGAATCCTGGGTCAACATTAGAGGGGAAACGGGCCCCAAGGCCCCAAGGCTCCGCGGTTCTTGAGGGAACGGAAAGGTTCCAGGTGTCTCCACGCTGCTTGGCGGGATTTCTTTTTTTGGGTTCTGCGGATATTTTCAGCGGCTGGCTGCAAAATCACAGCTTTCCTTTCTGGCATGCCAAAGATGGGAAGGAAAGGAACCTCACTTATTGGGGCTCCCAATGTGTACAAAGCATCCATTGACCCTACCACAATTTGTAGGACACATTGTACCCTACCAAGCATCAAAAAGGTGGCACAGGGTTTCATGTCATTTGTCTATGTGGCAATCCGCCCTTTCTTCGGTGTTCGCCTGAAGACTTGAAGACGCTTAAATTTGTACAGGCATCGAATGTGCTTCAGGATGTGCGAGTGGTGAATGAACAATGCAATGTGAATATCCTTAGTTGACTCAGACACAGCAGCTGGCAAGTGCGAGAACTTTTGTGAGCGTTGGCCCACCCGCTGACGTCGATTTCAGGCAGCTGAAGCACTTCAGTCCCGTGCCAGTTTTGACAGCTGGGAGGGTGCTCACAGAGGGGTCAATGCAAGACCCCAAACACAGTCCACTGCCCCACTAACCCCTAAGCGGGTGTGTCTTAGAATTCGGGAACCCCAAAAATGCGAGTTTCCCTTTGGCTTCCCGTTTAAAAAAAGGAACCCGCCCGGGGCTTCGCTCGAATCGCGCGTCGCGCGTTTCGAGGAACGCCGCGGTGGAGATCCTGGCCAAGGACGGCTGGACGCCCTGCCACGGCGCAGCAGGCGAGGGCGTCTGGGTGGGTAGCCTGGGTAGGCCCCTTTTGGTTGCTTGAAGGGGACACCAAAAGGAGAACCCCATGGATTTGTTGTGGGGTTCCCTAATTTTGGGCGATTTTGGGCCCAGCAAGACTCTGTACATAGGGGCGATTTGTTGTGTGGTTCCCTCAAATTAGAGCCCAGAATGACTCTGTCTCAAAACAGGGGCGGGGCGCGCCCTCGTTACAAGGGGATGGTTGGTTCCACTTGTTTCCTTCAAGACAACCCGCATTTCCCTTTTTGGGTCGTGGTTTGCATCACTTGGGCCGTCTCACTGAGCAGGGATCAGTGGTGCTCAATGTCACGCTCTGAAGGCGATGTGTATTTAGCGTGCTATCGCACTGGACCATCCCTTTAGAGTGTCTTGCCTGTCTACATGATCCATGTATCCTAGGCACTTCGCATGTTCTTTCATCATCAAGGCAAGCCACCGCGCAGCGGCAGAGAGCATCATTGGGGCGGGCTCCAAGTAGAGGGCGTCAACTGAACGGTGTGGCTCAGCTGCGCCGGTCACGGCGACTGAGCCAACGAACAGAATCGCCCATGCCACGATTCGATTGGCGGGCCCCAGGAGCTCTTGGGCCTGTTTCCAGGGCGCAAAAGCTGGGTCCCCAACTAGGAACAGCCCAAGTCGTTTGCCCTTCTTCCCTTCAAAACACTCCTAAGGAATACCCTCCCACCAATTAATTGAAGGCACCCCCCCACAATTTTGGTCAGCATGTGCTGCCAAAGTCCCATGCCCTTGGGAGAGATTTCGGGAAGGCCGCGGCGCCCACAGCGACAAGCAGATCCTGTGGCAGCTCCTCAGTGAGGAGGAGCCCTCGGGATCCCCGTCGATGGCTCGAAAAAAGACGAAGCCTTTGGCCATGCAGAAGAAAAACCCTGCGTCTTGGACTCAAGGTTCTTCAGTGGAAGGGAAGTAAGTTCTTGAGGGCTTGCTCAATTTGCTTGAGAGCCCCTTTGAAAGCCTTGGCTACAAGGCCCTCACGTGCAAGGATCTCCTGCACCAATCAATGTAGGGAGAAAGCAAAGCAAGAAACGCCAATGACTTAGAGCAAGAACATCATGAAAGAGCAACAGGCAGATCATTTGGCTGTGGGTCAAACCAATAGGATCCCATTTTGGGGTAGATGTACCTCCATTTTAGTCTATTTTAGTGGGGATTGGGATGTTCACTGGAATTACGGGGTTGTGACCCATGGCCATCTATCCATCAAACAAATCCCACTGATGTTGTTCCTGCGTTGCGACTCGGCCCGTGGTACTCCTTTCCAACCGGGGGTGGCATTTCCCCGCACGAGATGGGATGTGTCCCCCTTTTTGAGGGGGACTTGGGCAGGTGCCTTTTTCAACATACTTGGGAAGTTGTAGGGTTTCCCTTGGCAAGCCTGAGTTCTCTCTTCTACTTTTACGCCGCCCGCGTTCGTTCGTTCGGAGCGAATGGGGTGAGTCTCACAGGAGAAAGCCCAGCTGGTGCAAGACATGACGGGGTGCACTCCTCACCACTGGCCAGCTGCCCAGCGGATCGATCCTTTGGCTCGGAGGCATTTCTGGGTGCTGCCCAAAATGAGGATTCATCGTTTCAGCCACCCGCCGACACCACTTGACGTGCAGCGCAAACGCGTGTCTCGCCTCTGCTTGCAGTTGATTTCTTGGTGCTTGGGCATCTCTTGGTGCTTGGGCATTTCGAGGGGATGTCACTGCGTCGTTTGCTAATAGCTGACCTTGACTTGTTTTTCCTGAATTTCCTCATCGCCGCCCCGTCCGTGCAACACGTTCGGGGTGTCCAAACTCATTGCATGCCCAAAAGTCCTGCCGGGCGACGGTGGATTCTAGTCTTGTCTTTTTCATAGTCCATGTTTTCGTTTTCGAAGATTGGCACACCCCTCCTAGGTTCTCCCCTTTGCCGCGGGATCTTTGGCCGGACGGGGTTCAACTGCGCGATTTTTTCAGTGTTTTTTTTGTCGGTTCCCAAGGTCTCAGATTGAGCAGCGCATGCGCCAGCTCGGGGCTCAGAGCCGCCCAGAGCTCGCCAAGAGACGAGGCACCCCGGCCACCCATCGGTTTTCACGGGATGGCATGGACATCAACCGTCCTTTCAGGCCGGGTGGCGCCTTTTCTTGTTGGTCCAAGCAGATTGTTGTTTCCGTGGGCTCCATGTACAAGTGCCCTAGTGTACATTCCCCCAAGTCTTGTTGGTTTTAGGGTCCAAGGCTTTGGTCTTTGGTCTCCCGGACCACACGTCCAGCGCCAGCTCTCCGAGGCGCTCGAAGCGCCGGCCCTTGTCCGCGGGGCCATGTGGAGGCACCCGGCGCCCGGCCAAGACCAAGGCCGGAAGACGTGGCCGAAAACGGGGGAAAGAGCGGGGAAGGAGGGATGACGGGGGGGAATTGGGGGGAAGGGGCAAGGGGGGGGAATTGGGGGAAAGGGGGGGAGGGGGGGCGGTTTGAGGAATGACATATACGAGTCCTAGGAACAGATATAAAGTCAAAGTGAGCCAACGATTCAGCGCAAGGCGAGCAACTACAATGCCTTACAGTGCATTGCCTTCTAGTACATGTTGAAGGCATACATAAGTACACGTACATACACACATCTGATTTGAACGATTTCTGGCCGACCATTGTTTGAACCGCACTCAGGCAGGATTTGGTTCTGACGTGCAAACGGGGAGAGCGGGGTGGGCTGGACGTAGGGCCGTCCATGATTTGCGGATGTCCCTCATTGTAAGGACTGCGTCCAATTCCATTGTTGGATCTGGCTTCAGTTTGGCTCCTTCAGTGGAAGCCCATGGATTTTTCTCCTGAGGGCACCACTCTGCGGCCCTTCACGGCCAAGCCGGTGGGGGGCCCCAGAGGTTTTCGAACCAAGTTTGCAGAGGGTGGGGGAGATGGTCTCTCCTCTGGGTTAAGTTTTCGTTTGGTGCAAAGCAGGCCATTGCTTCACCTGGTGAGCGTGAAGAAGAACGGGGCGGCTAAATCAAGCAGCCAATCAGCCATCTTCCAGCGAGCCAGCATTCCTTTCACTGGCGAATCCGCTCCCGAACTTTCTTATTTCCATCATGAAGGCTGAGGGATTGTGTCGGATGCAGCTTCATCGCTGCTTGTGTGGCAAACACCGAGTTCTGTTGAAGCGCACCATGTTGGGAGGATCTGGAGAGTTTAAAGGGAATGCTTTGCACACTCCTACGCGCCTTCGGTGTGACAAGCCAGACGTTTGAAAGAAGCTGGGACGTTGGCAGGTTGCGGATGAGTTTGATGGCGGCAAGCACTTGGAGATTCAGGGAGGTGAAGGGAGCATCATTGTTTTTTAATCGCAGGTTGCATTGAGAACTTTCAGGCAAGGTAATTGTGTATATATATATATACACATACACACACACACACATATATATATATATATATCTGTAAATATGGACACGTGCAAGTACGGATACTGGGTCACTGTTCGGTGACATCTCTCGCATTGCCTTTCACTCACTTGATGATGGTACACATATTTACACCTTGCATCCCTGCCCTTTACTAAGCAAATGCTGGTAGAAACAACTGGGTCTAGGGTTGAACATTGAGGTGAGAGGATGTACAGTTTTACGCAAGAACACCCATAACTGGGTTTCATCCCAAATGCCCACCAAAGGGTCCCCAATCGCAAACAGGCGCAGTTACTCGAAGACTTTTCTAAAGGACACCATCTCTCGTCGGGTTCTTTCTTTCTTCACCCCGCACTCGACGTCAGGTTCTTGTGGCGCAGGTTCAAGGGGGTTGGTTCATTCGACGGGAGGTTCTTGTGGCGCCGCATTCGAGGTGATTGCGCCCCACTCCCGCGACGCGGAGGACATTCTGCGCGCGGCCCGGGGCCTCGAGAGTAGGCTGACATCGGCGCAGGGTAGATGGGAGCTCCACAGAAGCCATCCGGGAGAAACGCACATGCCGCAGATCCCGCAGATTCTGAGAGTATGGGTGGGGGGTATGTCCATGTTTTTTTTTTCTTCCTGAGACGTCGCAGCAGCCAAACGGCCGGCTTGACCATTTGCAGCTATTGGCATTGGGTGGGTCCTTGCGTCCCTTGACGAAACTCGGACAGGCGCTGGGTGGGTTTAGTCTAAAGATTGTCTAAAAACGGGCCCCAAGCTGGAAGCCACATGGTATGAGTAATGTTGACCCAGGATTAATAAACCCGTCCCACTCTTAGGGGGGTGAAAACCCCTCCAAAAGTGGTCTGAATCCAACCACTAAAAGGAATTGGACACCCCCATCTCTCAAAATCAACCAGGGGTTTATTCATCCGGGGTTAACATTCTGAGAGAAGGAGGCCCCTGGTTTGAAAGCCCTCAATGTCACCCGGCTGCCAACAGGCGTCTGCGTAAAAATTCCCTTGACACGATCGCCGCTTTCGGAGGTGCAACAAAGGGACATTGAGGGACGAAGCCTTTAGCTGAGCCTTTGGAAGAGCCACAGACCACATTTTGGTGGCTGTTTGGTTGGTTGAGAAGAATTTTCCATGGGGGAAGGATGATTCTTCCCGTCAACCAACAAAAGTCAAGACGCCACCAAGACATATTTCTCCCCTGGGCTTTGAGTCGGCTTCAGACTTCTATGCGCGAGTGGCGGCCAAAAACCTCTCCCGGAAAAACAAAAAACAAAAAATAACCAGAGAAGCATGCAAACAGATTTCAACAGCTCGGATTCTTGAGGTTGCCGTGCTGCTTGCTTGCTTTGCCTTGCCTTGCTTTGCCTTCTCTTGCCTTACCTTGCCTTGCTTGTCTTGCCTTGCCTTGCCTTGCCGTGCTTGCCTGCTTGCCTGCCTGCTTGCCTGCTTGCCTGCCTGCCTTCCTGCTTGCTTGCCTGCTTGCCTGCCTGCCTGCCTTCCTGCTTGCCTGCTTGCCTGCTTGCCTGCTTGCCTGCTTGCCTTCTTGCCTGTCTGCTTGCCTGCCTGCTTGCCTGCTTGGTTGCCTGCTTGGCTTGCCTGCCTGCCTCCCGCCTGCTTGCCTGCTTGGTTGCTTGCTTGCCTGCTTGCCTGCTTGCCTTCTTGCCTGTCTGCTTGGTTGCCTGCTTGCCTGCTTGGTTGCCTGCTTGTTGGCTTGCCTGCCTGCCTCCCGCCTGCTTGCCTGCTTGCTTGCCTGCTTGCCTGCTTGCCTTCTTGCCTGCCTGCCTTCCTGCTTGCTTGCCTGCTTGCCTGCCTGCCTGCCTTCCTGCTTGCCTGCTTGCCTGCTTGCCTGCTTGCCTTCTTGCCTGTCTGCTTGGTTGCCTGCTTGCCTGCTTGGTTGCCTGCTTGTTGGCTTGCCTGCCTGCCTCCCGCCTGCTTGCCTGCTTGGTTGCTTGCTTGCCTGCTTGCCTGCTTGCCTTGCCTTTGCCTGCTTGCCTGCCTGTCTGGGTTGCCTGCTTGCCTGCTTGGTTGCCTGCTTGTTGGCTTGCCTGCCTGCCTCCCGCCTGCTTGCCTGCTTGGTTGCTTGCTTGCCTGCTTGCCTGCTTGCCTTCTTGCCTGTCTGCTTGGTTGCCTGCTTGCCTGCTTGGTTGCCTGCGTGTTGGCTTGCCTGCCTGCCTCCCGCCTGCTTGCCTGCTTGGTTGCTTGCTTGCCTGCTTGCCTGCTTGCCTTCTTGCCTGTCTGCTTGGTTGCCTGCTTGCCTGCTTGGTTGCCTGCTTGTTGGCTTGCCTGCCTGCCTGCCTGCTTGGTTGCTTGCTTGCCTGCTTGCCTGCTTGCCTTCTTGCCTGTCTGCTTGGTTGCCTGCTGCTGCTTGCTTGCTGCCTGCCCGCCTGCTTGCCTGCTTGGTTGCTTGCTTGCCTGCTTGCCTGCTTGCCTTCTTGCCTGTCTGCTTGGTTGCCTGCTTGCCTGCTTGGTTGCCTGCTTGTTGGCTTGCCTGCCTGCCTCCCGCCTGCTTGCCTGCTTGCCTTCTTGCCTGTCTGCTTGGTTGCCTGCCTGCCTGCCTTTCTGCTTGCCTAAGAGGAAAAGAGAGAGAGAGAGAGAGAGAGAAGGAAGAGAGTGGAGGAATTCATGTCATCGCTTAGAGCCAGGATGTAGACAGGGAAGAGCCCAGAGAAGGAAGATCTGGAAAGGAAAGGGATTAGGAAGGAGTATCCACTGTCATGTCTTGATTTCTCTCCGGCATGTCGTTACCTTCCCGAGGCCAGACACTTTATTTTCCACACCGAAGCCTCTTCCCTCTCCAACTCTCTATCCTAGACCAAGCGCCGGAAGAAGCTGGGAAGAGGACTATTGGAGAGGAAGATCATGTCACTCCCAGCCGTAGGAAGAAATAGGCTGGAGAAGGGAGTGACATCATCCATCTCTTCTAGTCTCCGGGAATTACCGAAAGGACATTGGAGAGAAGGGAATGACTGGTAGGTGAAGAGATGGGCCTTCCTCTTCTGCTCACACCCTGCTCTTCCTCCATCATTTTCCTGTCACCTGGAAATTCCGGAGCCGCTAGGATGTGAGTAAGAAGGAAAGGGTGAAGAGATGGCGAGAAGGCAGGCGAGTCCCAAAAAAGTTGTCGCCTCGCAAGTGAGCGAGTGAAAGGGAAAGGTGCTCAGGGTCTTATTGTCAGGCCCTTGGCTTCCTAATAAAGGATGACTCGGTTTTCTGAGAGACGAGGCAAGTGACAGTGAGGAAGTCCACACACCGCTCATGCTGGACGGAAGTTACCTGTCAAGGATTTGCGACCTTTGGACCTTTCCGTCGCTAACAGCTATCTCTTCACTGTCTCGGCACTCACTTCTTCCTGCCTTCGACCGTCAGAGAAGAGTCTGCGTGGTCAGGATTCTAAGGTAGACAGGTGTAGGAAGGTAAAAGGTAGGACTGCCCACACCCTTCTTCACCCCTCCTCCAAACCTTCTTTGAGCTCCCCACATTCGGAACCCCCGCGCGTTTGTTTTTGGGACGTATGGAACGACCTCGCAAGGCCCCAAGACTGTCCGCAGCGCCTGCGCCTTGCGTCAGCTCGGGGCCCCAAAACAAGGGCCATCCGTGGCAGGGGTGTCGTGTGTCTTTTTCTTTGAGACTAGGTCCTCCAGGATCGTGCCCTTTTACCGTTTCTTTTTTGGGGGCGGGTTTTCCGCACCAAAATAGACTGCAGAAAAAAGTTGGCACCAACTTATTCTAACCTCTCTACTGGAGGACCTAGGAGAGATTCGGCTTGATTGGCTCGAAAGAGACGAGCATGCATGTGATATGTTCGTTGCGTGGTTTCCGCAAACGTGTCGAGAGTTATTTCTTTGAGAGGGGACCCTCCCTCTACTCTCTACAAGTGTTTTTTTGGTGCTTTTGCGCGCGCTGTTTGTTTGGTTATTTGTTTGTTTGTCTGTCTGTCTGTCTGTTTGTCTGTTTGTTTGTTTGTTTGTTTGTCTGTTTGTCCTTTTGGTGTGTGTGTGTGTGTAAGTGTGTGTGTGTGTCTCTCTGTGTGTGTGTGGGTGTGTGCGTGTGTGCGTGTGTGCGTGTGTGCGTGTGCGCGTGTGCGCGTGTGCGCGTGTGCTCGTGTGCGCGTGTGCGCGTGTCTGCGTGTCTGCGTGTCTGCGTGTCTGCGTGTCTGCTGTCTGCGTGTCTGCGTGTTTGCGTGTCTGCGTGTCTGCGTGTCTGCGTGTCTGCGTGTCTGCGTGTCTGCGTGTCTGCGTGTCTGCGTGTCTGCGTGTCTGCGTGTCTGGGTGTGTGTGTGTGTATATGTGTATGTGTATATGTGTGTGTGTGTGTGTGTGTGTGTGTGTGTGTGTGTGTGTGTGTGTGTGTGTGTGTGTGTGTGTGTGTGTGTGTGTGTGTGTGTTTGTGTGTGTTTGTGTGTGTCTGTGTGTGTGTGTGTCTGTGTGTGTGTGTGTCTGTGTGTGTGTGTGTGCGTGTGTGTGCGTGTGTGCGTGTGTGCGTGTGTGTGCGTGTGTGTGTGTGTGTGTGTGGTGTGTGTGTGTGTGTGTGTGTGCGTGTGTGCGCGTGTGTGTGTGTGCGTGTGTGTGTGTGTGTGTGTGCGTGTTTGCGTGTGTGCGTGTGTGCGTGTGTGTGTGTGTGTGCTGCGAGAGAGTGTGTGTGTGTGTGTGTGTGTGTGCGAGAGTGTGTGTGCATGTGCGTGTGTGTTTTTGTGCACGTGCGTATGTGTGCGTGATCCTTGTGATCTGCGGTCAGAAAGAAGATGCAAACGAAACCCTGGGCGTTCAAAAGCCGAGGCCGTCCAGTGTCTCCATCAGCGGAGGCCTCTTCGCCTGTGCATCGCACCAGTGTTTCCGCAGCCCGGCTGCAAGACAGCAAATAGCAAATGGAGGGTCGTTTTGCATGATTGTTGGTTCAATGTTTGAGATGTTTTTGTTCTGCTCCCTGTGGTGCCCAGCCATCAGTTTGTCCTTTTGCAACAATGGCAAGAAATTGCAGTCTTGTTGCAGTGGCGGTGATGATAGCAAGAGCATGAGCCGCAAGCAGGGCGCGGGGCAATAGGAGCACTAGGAGGATTATGGCTTCTGGCTGTAGTCGAAATACGTTGGTAGATGTGATAGCAGTAGCAGTAACAGCAGCAGCAGCGGCATGCTGCTGCAGCAGTGGCAGCAGTCGCAGCAGTGGCAGCAGTGGCAGCAGTGGCAGCACTGCGACTGTTACTGCTACCGCTGCTACTGCTGGTGTTGGCTGTGTGTTCATTCGAGCAGGCATGAACTTAGCGCTGCCAGCAAAGGATTGCAGGCTGTAGGCAACCAAAAACATGGCAACATGAAAACAGACCACACCCACGCAGGCGCCCGTGCAGACTCCTGTGGCTGAAGGGTGGTGGTGTGCTAGTGTGCGTGGTGGTTGTGGCTGTTGTGATTCTGGTTGTGGTTGTTGTGGTTGCTGTTGGCAGATGACAAGCAATGCTATGCCCCCAAATCCGTCTCCCCCCCTTTCCAGTTGCTCAGTGGCACCCTTGTTCCCTTTTCTTGGCGGCTTTCCGAACAAACATGGTCAGCCCCAAAAGCTTTCCACTTTTTTTGCCAGGGTCACTGGACACTGGGCCCTCAGACGCCATGCCCCTTCCCTGTGACTTGCTGCAAAGGCCAAGGATGTGGCGGCCATGCTTAGCAAGCTTGCGCATTCCGGCACGGCCCGGGCGTGGGAAAAGAATGATAAGAATGCCGGGAGACTCAGCAGCTTTCCACCGGCGCCTTCAACCGGGCAATACTGTTGGTTGCTTTGTCGCAAGGCAGCCCTGCACGCTTTCGGCGCGCTGGTGTTTCTTCAGGCAGAAGGCATCAACTCCTTTTGGGATTCCGCCCAAAGCCAGTTGGAGCTTTGTTACCCTATTCGCTTCAGGTTTTGCAAGCTTGGCTCTGGAAGGAGGCACTCTCCTATCTCTGCTTGTAGACGCTGGAACAGGGGGATCCTGTGGGCATGTGAATAAACATGTCCAAGTTTCCTTTTGGCTTCCCCGAAAACCAAGCCGAACAGGGCCCCTCGGCAAATATATATATATATATATATTATGTATATATATATATATATGTAACAAAAAAACAGAACCCACCGTCACTCCGGAGCGCCTTCAGGTCCTGACGCTGCCCCGCGCCGAAGCGCGGGCCTAGAACGCGCGAGCGCACGTGATGCGCGCCGGTTTGGGCCCGAGTCCGGCAGACTGCCTGCGACACATGTCGTTTCTGCGTGGGGTCTCAGCCAAAAAAATCGCCGGAATGCTGGCCCTGTCACAATTCGGCAAGGCGCGCATCCAAGCGGATAGGGATGCGGCACTGAATCAACCAAATCGCTTCTCGCCCTGGGGGCGATTTGGACCTTGATTCTTGGGTCCAGATCCGGGGCTCGGGATTCTCTCTGTGTGCCATTTGTGATGCCACGGCTGCGGGATGCCCCGAAAGCTTTGCGCAAGCCAGTCCCCTGCTACATGGAGGCCCTAGCCTCACGGGACATGTCTCCGGTGACGCGATGTTGAGAGGACTTGGACATAGTTGCAAGGCCGACTTTCGATTTGTTGGCGTTCTAGCTGTGCGATTTTGGTGGATCAAAAAAGTGGATCTGCAAGTCCATTTGGGAATTGGCATATCTCCTAGTGCTTTGAACCCTCAGGCCTCGGGGGGTGTCCAGCTGGAAGGGGGGTCCTTTCTTTGAGAATTCTGAGGTCTAAGCCTGGATCTTGGAGGTGTTCTCATTTTTGGCCCCAATTTGTTTTTGAAGTCGGACGTGCGACTGCGACTAGGGGAGCGGGAATGACATGTGCCTGGTTTGTGGACGGGGTGCTTTCGGACCCATGAACATTCACACCCTGTCAAAGGAAACAGAGCGCATGTGACATTGGACCACAGGCAAGAAGGGCCGCAGCTGAAAAACGAAAGCGCGGAAGATACAAAACGATAGGTCTCACCTTCCAATGCAAGAAGCCGTTGGTTGTGACGGTGTGGCTTAAAGCCACTCGGAGAGGTTGGCACATGCAGAAAATGTGATGCGTTTTGAGTCACAAGTCCTCCACGGCGGTGCCCGCAAGTTTCTGTTTATACATATATATATATATATGTATATACTTGACTGCTATTGGGTTGGATCTTTGACTTTAACTTTTTGGGAAGTAAAGGTGTTTTCTACTAAATTCCCCAAAAGTTAGACTTTTTGCGGGGGGGCCACAGCAACCAAGTATATATATATATATGTATATATATATATATATATGTCTCCCAGAAGTGTACAGGAGACATGACACATGCTATCGGTCGTCCTTTGCACCCCTTGAGCCAAGTTTACGCAATAAATTGGAAACAGGTTCAACATTTTGAACTACTCAAAAGCTCCTTAAAAATACAATTTGGCCGTTGGAGACTTTACATTTTCCACTAGACCAACATGCAAGCACCATTTTGGGGTAATGTTCAGGTTGATAAGACTATAAGCAGCCCTTTGCTCGGGCAGCTACTCACGTACAGGCCATCAGAAATAGGAGACCACTGGTGGACTGGCAGAATTGGTCTCAAAGAAGTTATGTTTAGTTTGATTGTGCCCTCCACCGGTTACAAGAGTCAAAGGACGTTTCTCATGTTCCAACCTCTCCTCATGTGCCGGATGGGGCAGGGAAAGAGCTCTACCTGAAGCCAAGCCGGGCGAGGTCGAGTCTAGAGCCAGTTGCCTTTTTCCGCAGCTGATTCACTGTAAGCTTGCTTCCTAAGATGCCTCAAGGGAACTCGTCCAAAATTCGGACTATGTGGCATGAAGGGTTCTTCAGTACAAGCAGAGGTTGAAAGAAGCGCGGCTTTTTGACCGAAGAATGTCTGCTTTGCTTTGGCCCATCTGTTCCAGACCCCGAGCATGCCCAAGGCGACCAAGGGAAAATGGCCTCGCGTGCTTGCCTGGTGCGTGGAATTCCTGGAGGTAGATATAAATAGCCGAGATATGGCTGTGGGTCAAAATCCGTGCCCAAAATGGAACCCTGGTAAATGGAACCGAGGTCTAAACTTTAATTTGATCCATACCCATATCTTGCTAACTCTTTGCTTCACCCAGCTTATATAACGGGCATATCCGCTTTGGTGTACACCGATGGCCGAAGGGGGTTGGTACAGCCTGGCTCACCGTGGCATGGGAACTATGTCTCAGTTGTTCAGTGGCACCAATTCTTTCCCCCTTTTCTTTAGGTGGCTGCCCCACTAAAAATGGTCCAAGCCCCAAAAAGGGTTCCCTCTTTTTTCCAGGGTCACTGAACAACTGAGATTTGACACTGTACTTGTCGATTTGCAGCGAAACAAGCGCTTTTGGAGAGTTGACGGCCTTTTTCAAGATGTTTGCACCGGGGCAGAGTTAGGATAGATTCGCACATGTTAGTGACGGGTCAACATGACACCAAACAACTTAGATTTTAAGAAGGTCTGACTCCAATCCCGCAAGTTGTTGGGGGATTTCAAACGATGAAGCTGTAGCTCTCGCGCGTATTTCCAGCGCGGGGTTGATTCGTCATATGTGCCTTTTGCCGGAACAGGTCGGATCGACGGATGCAGAGCGAGGTTTGTCAGTCTTTGTGGCTATTGACTCTGCCGGTACTCAGCACTGGCTGGTATACAAAACTTGTCACTTCGGTTGCGGCTGGGGGGTCAAGGCTGCGATCTTGCATTGCCTGCAGGTTTGCTTGGCTGGTGCTTCCGGCTTTGCCGCTGTCACGGCGCATGTTGGCTGAAATGGATCGGTTGGTGGATCCAGTTGGGCCGGCCACTTTGTGCTATGCCCAGACAAGAGCGAGCGTGTCCTTGCAGGTCTTCTTCTGGTCGGTCGCGCAGGTGATTTTTGCAACCGGAAGCAGCTTGGGCAGGTGGGATTGGCGTGCTGGTTCACTGCAGGGGCGCGCTGGCTGAAGGCTTGGATGCCGGTGCTCTGGAGGCTCTTGCGTGAGCCCAGGTGGCGTGTCAAGTTGTTGCAGGCGAAGGCCCTTAATCATCTGCAGGAGAGGAACAAGCTCCGCCGCGCCATCAATGACAAGCCCCCGGGCTGCCGCAAGCCGCGCTCCGCTTCAGAAACGTCAGGGCAACTTCACCCACGCCGCTCCAACAAGGCCAAATCTGCCAACCTGCGCCTCTGCGTGGCTGTCGTTTTGCCTACATCTTGGGAAGTCTGCTGCAACTGGGCGAGTGCTGCGCTGGATTTTTCGGAGGGTCGGCTGCGGAGTATGCCGCGCTGGGCTTTTCACTGGCCGCATCGCCAGCGTCGCCAGGGTCACCAACGTCACCTGTCCGATCCACATCGCCAGCATCACAGTGCGTCGTTACACCCTAGTTTTAGAAAACTGTTGGAGCAGAAACGCCCACTAGCAGCGTTGCCATAGCCTATAGATTAAGTAGACTTCTAGCCGCCCAAACAATTGCATCTTGGCTGCCTTGGCCGGATTGCTTTCAGTTTTCACATGTTCAACGGTCACTTGCTTTGAGCTTCAATTCTTTGAGTCTTTTTTGTTTGGCAGGCCAAGAAGCAGATCGGGGATGTGCAGGGTTGGAACCAGGCGTGCAAGGTGACTGCATGTTGACGACGCTTCCAAACATGTCTTCGACAAACGCAACTGTAGTCCTTATCGAGTTGATGTCGTGTGACTCGTGTGACAGGTAAACTGCTTCTTGGGTTCTTGGACTGATCATTGACAGCACACATGTTCTTTGCCAGTTTTGGCTTTTGGCGTCGCTTTGTGCCAGGTGCCGTACGTTCGATGATGCTTACGTCGCAGATTTGTTTCTGGATGTATCCTTTCCGATAGATGCAATTTTCGAAGTCGGCCATTGTGTGACAGGATGCTCCTGTAGGGTTGGCACAAGCCTTTGCAATCAGCAGCAAGATCAATACCGCGTCCTCTTAGGGGAATACATAAATTTGCTGTTGTTTCTGACCGAATTTTCTTATTCACGCATGCTGCTAGCACGGACATCTTGCGTGGCTCGAAATTTCAACCTCCTTTTGGAGTTTTTCCACCTAAACAGCTTCCACCATGCCTAGCCACCTCTTGCTTGGCTTTTTGGTGCGGGAAGCATTAGGTTGAATGTCCGTCTCCGCTGCCGCGCTTGCCGCTCGGCCCTGATCCAGCTGAAACATGTATCATGAAAAGTTCAGAAAGATATGGGTATGGGTCAAACTTAAACCACCAGGGGACCACAGGTTTTAGTCCTTGGTTTTGTTTACCAAGGCTTTATTTTGAGTACCTATGTTTGACCTTCAGAAACATATGGACCTCCACTGGAACCAACTAAAGTTATGTCTCGAGTTCGGACGGCTGTGTTGCGCCCCAAGCTTGCATCACCCCGCGCAAAGCAGCTTGCTCCAAATCTCTTTGAGGGAAAATCCTCGGGAGAGGACGCCAACCACCGATGGGGACCATTTATAGGGTTCCCCACAAGACAAAATCCACAAGAGTTTGTTGGTTCAATGCGCTTTGGACGCAGGTTCCAGATGTCAGGTCGCGCGTTTGGACGCAGGTTCCTAGCAGACGTAAGAGCGATGATATGGTGGTTTCCTTTTGATCTGCCTTTGAAACCACCCCCTGAACAAGAGACTTCCCCAGAATTAGTTTCCCTTTTGATTTTTTCCTTTTTCTGGGTCCCCTTTGTTTTCCACTAACCAGGCAAACAATACAATATTTTGCTGGGGCAAGGAGAGAGCCATTCTTCGCCCAGGGGGACTTCGCATGAACCGGGCACCGCGGGTTTTTCCATGTGGATGACCCCCACGTCCGGAGAGCGACCATGTCATGGCGCACCCGCAGCAGAAGCCCCCGACGCGAAGGCATGGGATTTCCGGGGTGGGAGTGCAGCGGGTGTCTCACACTATGGTGGATCCCAGCCATCCAGTTTTCATAGGTTTTTTATAGGGTTTTTAGCTGGTTTTTGTGGTAGCCGGGCATTATCACGGCACCCTGGGAACCCCAGATTTCCCCTTCAAGCACCCCCGAAAAGGCCACTCGCCTCCTGATGCGGGCATGTTTTTTTCAATTCTACGGACCCCCCTTGGACAGCACTTAGGTGGGGCCACTTTTCAGGGGGATCCCTATGAAATTCATAGCTGTCCTCAGATCTGGTAAAGTTCAGGTGGGTTTCATGGAAGCTGGATAAGAGTTGTTTTTTCCCTCCCCGAGAATTTTTCCATGGTCTTTCTCCCCGCATTTTTTTCCCATGAGGATGGCGATTTCTTTGACCCTCGAATGGTTCCAGAGACCTTCCCAGGTCCCAGGTGAAATGGGATATTTCCCATTCGGTGATCGACCTCAAAAGCGCGGAAGGCAAACTGCAGAAAGTTCGGACTCTCCGCTACGCGAAATCGTTTTTCGGCGCTGCTCTTGTGCCTTGCTGGTGCGAGAGATGCAGGGAATGAGAATTGGAAGGACCCCGAAAGAAACCATCCATCAGGTGGTTTTGGTTTTGTTTGTTCGGGACGCCCCGAAGGCTTCATGCCACTTCTGTGCACGTCACCCGAAGGGACTTCTCTTTGCGCGATTCAGCGGGAGGGATGGGCGTGAGAGATCTGCGGACGCGTAGGTGACATGGAGACGGCCCTGGAGGACGGCAGGTACATTTGCTCGCTGCTGGCCATGCCGAGGCCGGAGCTTTGGGGGAGGCGCTTTCGCAGGGCGACGGATCTTGCGATGGGTGCGAGAGATGGCTAGGGAAGGAGAAGTGGAATGAACCGGTTTTGGGGAGACCCGAAGAAAGGACAAACCAGCAGTTGGATGGTGGTTTATGGGGTCATTCCCTCATTCCCTGCTGAACACCAGCAAGCGATTTGGGCCCCTGTTGGCAGTCAATGCGTGGAATGTTTTCTTTCGAGAAGGTTGGTGACCAGGGCATTCCGCCTGAAGCTTGTTGCTTGGCTTCCTACCAAAGCCACGGAGGCTGAGGAAGATGTTCTTGTTTGAGGTCTTAGGGCCATTGAATCTCGGAATCTCTCGCTCGATGCAACTTGGATTTGCCTCGCATGAGCCAAGACGCAGGGATGAAGCACCAGGAGTGTTGCGGTGGGAATTGGGAGGGGCAATGTGGGCACATCCGCTTTCTGCATTCTGACCCCTGAACCTTTTTTGCATCAGCTTCCTGCCATATTTGCTACCTTTATGGGGTGTAGTTGGTAGATGTTGGGAACGATTGTGAACCATTGCTTGGTTCAGTTTTTCCCACTGGCTGGCTGGATGCCTGTTTTTGTTTTTTGGTGGGTTGGTCGGTGGGTGGGTGGGCTGGCTGGCTGGCTGGCTGGCTGGCTGGCTGGCTGGCTGTCTCGTTGGCTGGCTGGTTGTTTCGGTCTTGGTCGGTCGGTCGGTTGGTTGCAGGTTGTAGGGGTAGGAGTAGCGGTAATCGGCAGTCAGTATGAAGGTTTGCGAAGCCCAGTTGCAACTGCCGGAGGGGAGGGTATGATGTCGTTTCTGGAGAGTACCCTTGTCGAATCCGTGAGTTCAAAGGGGAAGAAACGAAAACACAAGCCAAACGTATTTTGAAATATACTGTTTGATATTTGAAATATATTTCTACGAGACTGGCACATCCTAAGCGAAATTAATCTTGGGGGTGCCAATCTCTACAAGCCAAACGCATTTTCAAAGCTCAGGGAACCTGGTCGCTTTCAGCGTGCGCGTGGCGCCCTTTCCGGATTCTTTTGGTACGAGCAAAAGCACGCTTTCCAGTTGCATAGGATTTTGACTTGCCCAGATTTCTTGCAGGAACATTTGGGTCACCACTCAGTGGGTTGTACATGGCCATGAGGTGCAGGGAAAATGCTTGGTGGAGAGAAATCCCAAAATTTGATGTCCACCAGAGGGTGCCTGATTAGAATAGGGGGGTGTGGATGGACGAATCCATTCCGCACCACCGTTCAGAAACCCTGGAATGATGAGATTCCCCAACGTAAATACCGCAACAAACGTTCCGGTTTCAACCATGGTTTCATTCCGTGGCGCGATTTCTGGATTTCGCTTCCATCCAAGCCCCCGTTGGTCTTAAGTGTCCCCTGAAACCAATCCCAAAAGGGAACCCTTGAAAAACAAAACATACATATACATATTATACATATACATATGATACATACACATATATACATATTATACATACACATATATACATATACACATACATATATACATACATATACATATATATATATGCATGATCCCCCCAGGTCCTTGTGCCTCCAGGCCGCTGGGCCTGCTGAAGGCCCGCGACGCGCAGCTGGACGCGGGCGGCAGAGATCTGCCGCGGCGCAGCAAGGGCCGGAAGCGGCGGCACCTGCTGGAGGCGAGGGATTTGGCGGGTGAAAACTGGGCCAGTCCTAAACACCTGTCTGGATGAGACATACTGACCAAACACAGACATACTCGGACCATGCGACTGAGCGGCTTGGAGGGCAATGACTCCGAGCCCCATGGCAACCTGTCCATCAAGCCTTCAAGTAAGAGCGAACCTGCTGGAGGCCCTCGAGGGATTTGATTTGCCCGAAGTCGCGAGAGGTTTGGGAGCACCCGGTGCGGGTTGGGTTTAAGCACTTCTTGCTTCCTTTTTTTTTGGGGGGGGGGGAGTTGTTTTTGTTGGGGGGGGGGGAGGGGTCCTTTTTTCTTAGTATGTTTTTTTGGGGGGAGGCCTAAGTTTTGTTTTGCAGAATGGGGTAAACAGTTGGAGTTGTGTTAGAACTTGCCAGTAAATGGCAGCTTCTGAAGGGGAGCAGGGTGCAGCAAAATTTGGGTTGGACGCTTGAATCCGGCGGCTCCTATTTTAGCGGCTTTGATTGACGGATTCTCTTTGCGGAAAAGTGCAGAGGAGGTGGGATATGATCTAATTGGCGGAAAAGGTGAAAGGGGCTGCCCAATCGAGGCGGGAAGATGGGGGCCCAATCATTGGCAGTTTGGCGCCCCTTCCTGGGGGAGGTGGAGAAGAACAGGATCACCCGCCACTCCCCTGTTGACTCAAAGATTCATGACCCTCTTGATAAAACAGGGGCCTGTACACTCAACCAGACAATTTTCATCATGTGACACAGTCGCGAAATCCGCCGGACAAAGCAGGGCCCAGGATTTTCACGAAGCTCCGATCACTTGGGGGGGGGGATTTGGGGGCAATCAAATCAGGCCTTCCGGGGCTTCTTTCAGCGCCTCTGCGGGGAGACGAAGGAACACAGCGAGCCGGAGAAGGCGCGCGATGTCGTTGGGCGTTGGGCAGGTTTGGGGGTTCTGGTGGTAACCAAGTAGAAGAAGCGGGACTGGAAGGGGGCGGAGAGCGGGTAGTGAAAGCGACATGTGGAAACTCTGGGCAAGTTGGCAAAGGGGGCCCAGCGCCGGTATGTCACGTGTGATATTAGCCTTTTGTCATTCCCACAACTTCCTCTAGTATGGCCTAGTCTAAATTTAGTATTGCCAAGCCTTCCTCGCGGATTCCTAGTACTACTGGCTCCGGGGCTTGTTGTTCTTCTTTTTTAATAGAGACGTTATCTGAAATTGTATGATTTGGGGACCAGTTGCGACATTGAGTTTCCTAGCTCTAATGCTTTTTAGCCTTTGAGCTGGGAAGAGCTTCGTTAGATTAACCATGCGTTAAAAGCAAAAGGCTACGGCTTTGAGCTGGTAATCCCCACAAAAAAATTGCTTGACATGAACGACGACCCCAAAACCCTCATATTGAACATGATCGGGGCCTCTTGTGGGGTATCCCCTTTGCGTGACTGTTTGCCCTTGGTTTTTCCGAACAAAGACCACTTCAAACCAGGAATTCCTAATCTTTGCCCGGATTTCTTTTGCCCGGACTTTTTGCCCAGGACCAGATTTGCCTGGCCCGTTTGCCTGTTTTTTTGCCCAATTGTTTGTCAGCAACAGCAACTTTCTATTATTGAATAGACACCTCATTTGCAAATTCAGGTTCAACATTGTTTATTAATATATATATATATATATATATGGTACCCCCCCCAAAAAAAATATCCCAGGTTTGGTCTGAAAACACTGATATTTACTGTTTTCTGACAAAAACCTGAATCTGCCAGAACCCTCAGTTGTCAGGCTGTTTTTTCAGTTTTCAAGGAAGCTTTCTGGAAACTCTCTGGCAATTCCTCAATACAATTCAGACAAGACACTCTCTGCAAAACTGAACAAACTGCAAAAAACTGAAAAAAACTGAAAACAATGAAACAATTGAAAAAAAAAAACTGAAAAAACTGAAAACAACTGAAAAAAAACTGAAAAAAACAAGGATTCTGAGGGACATGACCCCCCCCCCCAGCCATGTCCCTCAGAATCCTTAGTTTTTCAGTTTTTTTTTTCAGTTTTTGCAGTTTTTGCAGTTTTTTTCAGTTTTTTCAGTTCTTTCAGTTTTTTCAGTTTTTTCAGTTTTCCAGGAATCTGAGCAGAACCGAGCCCATATGTGAAGCTGTCTGGCTCAGTGCTTCCTTGCTCCTCTTCTGCCCTTGCTCTGATCCTGTCCTAGCATGGCCAAGGAGCCTGAGGATATGACCTTTGATGACCTCAAGAACGCATGCGACGCTTACGTATGCAGAAGCATGCCATCACCCTTTGTGTCCTCCTCACTGCCAATTGGCATCTTCAACCACGTCAATTTCCCCATGGCGGAGGCAGGCGGCGTGGAGGCGCGCACTGGCTGGAGCTCGTCACAAGGCACCCTGTTGACTTCAACTTTGATGACCTGTCCACGTGCTACAAGCAGGCCATAGCCCCAAGCACCGGTGGACAAAGCTCTTCGCACTTTGTCCTCCGATGGTGCCCTTGCCAGAAAGGAATTCGACTGGCCCCTGCCTTTGACATCTACCTTCTTCAGACCCTGGGTGCTCGAGATTCTTGAGGCTGTGTGGGATGTCGACAAGTCTTCCTTGGTGCTGTTGGGGGAGAGCGGTGCAGGCAAAAGTCCTTTGGGAAGGAGTGTCCTGATGGCTCAGTGCAGGCGGAACAAGCAGATCTTTGAATGTCACCATCGGCCTTGCATTAGGTGCGCACCTGAGCTGGACTTCTTGTGTGGGGAGCCTGGGCTTGTGACCATTGGCGACTTTCTGGATGACCCGACCTCATGAAGTCTTTGCTTGATGTGGGCTTGTATGAGTCTAGGTCCTGGGCAAAATGGGGTGCAGTCAAATGGGTTCAGAACCACCGTGCCCTCGCAGCAAACACCTATGACGAGAACGTGAACGAGGGTGAGGACTACAACCAGCACATCACGTTCGCTGACTTCAAGAAGATGGTCCGGCCTAGCATTAAGGGAGACGCATCTGGTGCAGATGTGGATGCAATCTTCAAGCGCGCATGCTTCATCCTCAACACCAAGAAGTTCGTGTACTACCGCCCTTCTGGAGTTAACGAGGATAAGGTGGCACGCCGCTTTGTGGAAGGCCCTGACTTTCTGACGCAGACAGGAAAGATGCTGTATGGCAAGTACAAGGACAACTGCAAGACATTGCCCGAGAATTTCGAGGAGGAGGTGCGCAAAGAGCAAGCCTGGCTTGAGCTTGTCTTCAAGCAGAAGCAAGAGAAGCAGGACCCCAAGTACAAGCAGAACCAGCAGCTGAGGCAGCTCTTCCGTGGGCGTGAGGAAAACAAGTCTTGCCTCGAGAAGATGGAGACGAAGGTCAAGGTCAAGAGAGAGATCGAGGAAGCCCGGGCAGACGAGGCCTTGAAGAAGGCCAAGGTCTGGAGCACAGAGCTGAAGGCCAGTAGGACTTTCATTGTGTTGGATGATGAGGATAACACGCAGGCCGACACGGTAGACTAAGGAAGACACAGAGTATGAAGAGAACCCCTTTGGTCATGGCACCTTGGAGTGAGCATTTTGCAAAAGGGCGTGGGTTCAAACTGTGGTATATTTGCACAGTTTGTGTGACACAGTGGCTACCTCCAATGGTACGCATGCACAAACTAGTGTGCACTTGACACATATAGCAAAGGGGCTCTTTGGTTAATTAACACACTCCGCGCATGGCTCTCATCAAGAAAACAAAGGAGCTTGCATTTGCTGTCTGCATAGTGCCCGTGCCTATGAACAAATATTGTCACGCATGTCCCTCACACGCACATGCTTTCAAGTCTTTTGGCTTTCTACGCAGACTGCTAAGCTCGCTCTCTATACTTCCCGATGGTGGCTGAGTTCAACCCTTTCCTTGATCCGAAGAAGGGCAAAGGCCGCACACTGCTCAAGAGGCCTGCGATGAAGAAGAACAAGACGTGGGATGCTGTGAAGTGCACCAGGACAACTTCACTGGCAGCTGGACCTGGCGGGCAGCGCATGGACCGCTTCAAGTGGAAGAGGTCTTTGACTCAGCTGCTTACAGCTACCCCCTTGAATGTGGTGAAGATGCTGCGGGCTGACCGCATCCTCCCAAAGTGGGAAGGCAAGGTGTGTCCACCAAAGCACCGGTGCTCCCAATGGAAATGCCGTGTCTCAACCCGCAGCACCTGCGTCGTGGATGGCCGTGGCGCTGCTGCGCAGCCCTTGCAGACACAGGCAGCCCTCCTCATGTTGAAGCTCAACAACATTTCCAACCCTGCGGTCCATCGTCTTTTCTCTGGTGTAACATTCTGAGGCTACGGCCTGGCCCATGCTTGTCACCATCCATTTTTTCAGACACGGTTCGTTGTTCAGGTGTTATTCCCAAAGTCCCTCATGTCATTATATACAGTGTACAGTGTTCGGACTTGGCTGCCTAGGCTCGAGCCTGGACATGCTGCAGCAGGCAGACGAGGATCTTGGGTCATGCTGTTTGGTCACGTGAGCCATTTGTTTCGGGATGTGTTCCCAGAGCTTCCTCGACTGTACTTTTTACGGCCTTGACCTTCAAAAAAAAAGAAAGGCTATAAAGCAAATGTCCCTCGACCATAAAAAGAAAAGCTAGGGAATCTTGGCCTACCTGCAACACCCTGGCCTTCCCCGACCATATTTTATATGGCCTAGACCAAAATAAAAGACAAAGGCTATGAATAAAAGTACGGCCCTCGACCGTAAATTGGTCCAAAAGAGTGGACGTGGTGGACCCGTGGAAGTTCAGCTTGCCACAGGGTCCTGTGCATGTAATGAGTTTTAGTAGCTCGCTGATCAGGTGATTTTACATGGAAAACGGTCATATGTGCTTTCCAAATGATATTTTAGCTGTAATTAGGCATGCCTAAATATGACGCGTGTCTATGTGACACATTCAACATAGCAGTATGCATGTTCCTGACCATGCAGCCACTGCCATCCTTGAATGCAGATCTTTTTGCGCTTTTGGCAAAGGTCTGAACACAAATCCTGCGACAACTGTTCAGCGGTTAGCTCAAGATATTGACCGTCCTTGGAAAGACAATAAAAAGGCGTGGAAAGGCTATAAAAAGGCGTCGAAAGGCGATTTAAAAAGCATGGGCAATCTAGAATAGTATGCGGGGCAACCTTCAATTGAAATGTTGTGCTTGCTGCGCGCAGTCTTTTCCGATTTGTTCCCGTGCGTTTGACACTCTTTTCATACATGGTTGAGGGCGCAAGTCATGTTACCTCCTCGGCTGAATGCCTCTATGCAAAAAAAATGACGGAACACGGGGCATGCAATGTCTCTCCAAAGAAAAATATGCGCTTATCTGCACACCAATGCTATCTACATCAGGCAGCCAAGTTGCAATTTTGAACATTATCGAGCTTAGCTCTCAAGAAACAAAACGGCATGCAAGCTTCGAAAGGTATACGTTTGATAAAAGCGCACAAATGCCTCTAACCATCTTATGGTTGAGCTACCTCGACCACACTTTGGAGCGCCTTTGGAAGACCAGGGAACACTTTGGATCGCTTAGGTAACAGAAGTGTGATTTTTGAAGTACGGGCCAGGCAAAATATCGCCTTTAGCCAAAATAGAGTCTAGCTACCTCGACAACAACCACAAGATGATCGAGGACCTTGACAAGAGGCTGTGTCATGCTTGCAAGACATGGGTGGAGGCAAAGGAGAAGGACATTTGCGCCAGGGCGCTGCAAGAGTAAGGCGGATGACGAGCGGATGGTAACACAGCCTGACTAGAACCCGATCGTTTAAGAACGTGGTGTAGCACAGTCAACGTAAGCCACCAAGAACCTGTCTTAGGGCGTCATGGTTGATGGCGATGGCCGGCCCCGCAACATGTCATCGGCCGAAGTTAAGGTGGGATGGACTCCTTTAGCAAAGAAGTGATTGCAGGATGAGAAGGTGATCCATGCACACTGATAGGCAGGAGAAACACAAGACCAAGTTATAGAGGTGTCCACGACAAGACAGTCACAAGGAAAAACGGGTCAAGTCAAGGGCCAGTAAAGTGGGGAAGGCCCGACCTGTATAAACGCGAAGCACAAAGACCAGATCACGAGATGATGACAAGTGAAGTCACCAGGACACAGGTGGTGCGATCGGGCCTGCAAGTTTTGAGACAGATTTGACCATCAACAGGAATGCAAAGATAGGGTCTTCTTCGTTCTGACAAACTTCGTTCTTGCACAGTATCAGGACCTGGTATAGGAACCAGGATATGTGAATTGCATCTGGGACACATCACAGATAATTTGATGACACAAATTCATGAAAAAAAAGCCATCGCAGTAGTGTGATGGAAAGCCGGGAGCCTGGTTCAAAAGTGCAGCTGCCATCTACGTGTGTGTGCCAAAATACGGGTTGGGAGAGATAACATATGTATATGTATACATGTTTGTATGCAGCCTTGTATGTATGCTGCCCCAAAACCCGCGTTTTCAACATCAGAAAGTCAGATGCTCTTGATATGGAAAGATGGTTTACTTTTAAGCAGAGGTAGATGGTTGACCTTGATAGCAAGACAGATGGTTGTTTACACATACACATGACCATGCTTTCATGGACGCGCGCGGCACATTTTTTGCAAAATTAAATATATGATGTAGATTTACTTAAAAGTATGATTAAGAAATTCAAACCTAAAAAGTTCAAGAGAAAAGATAGAGACGACAAGGATGCAATCCATATAGGTTATATTGCCGATGATTTATTAAAAGCAGTTCCAAAAGAAATTAGTAATGTAGTTCATACCGGACGTGAACATTTAGGTATTGAATATACAAAAGTTCCTATATTATTACATAAAGCTTTACTGGAAGTAATAGACAAAGTTGAAAAATTAGAAAAATAAATTAAGGAATTGAAAATGAGGAAAATCTAAATAATAATATATAATGGGTATTAGTCAAAGTAAAAAACGACAAAAATAACAGTATGGAAGACATTAAGAATTTCAGAGTAGATGAAAAACCAGAGCGGATACTTTAATAATTAAATATTCAAGAATGTGTGGCAAGGATTGAAAAATTAGAAAATCAAAAATCGGACAAACTAATATATAAATTGCCTGTGTTGAATTTATGCAACGCTTCATTAATTTAAATTAATAACATAAAAAATAAATTCAATGTTATTGATTAGTTATTTTCAAATATTGTGAAAAGTTTTTCAAAACATTTTATCTGGGTTCTTTTCTAAAAGGTTAATTTTTAAAAAAAACTATGCGGTTCATCAGTGGCAGTCTCATATATTGTATAAATTAGTTTCTTGCTTTCGTGTAAATTATCGCTTCTAACAATCTCTGATAATTCATCTTGCAATATTTCAATTTCTTTGAAGTTTCTAACTTTATCATACAACAAATGACTTATATTTACTCTAACAATTGGTGGCACGGTTGATGATTTTTGAAGACTGACAAGCGTTGATATTCCACTATGACGACCTCTACAAAATAAAGAATTTAACAATTTGGTATTTCTTGTTATTGCTGGATTATCAGATACATCATCCAATATAACTAATATATTAAATAACTTCTTCATTCCTTGTTTTTTCTGGTATTCAATTATTTTATTTTGAGTTTCTATAACTCTTTCTAAACCTTGAACATTGAACTCATCCCACCAACACGGTTCTTTATCGGTATCTACTTTCAAACCGTCCTTAATATATTTCTTCACTAGCAACCAAATACTATCCAAATTTTCAGATGGGGACCAGATAAAAACTCTTTCAAATGCTCCTCTATAAATATCAAGTATCATTGATACAAGTAGCGTGCTCTTTCCAGAACCAGACGGACCTACAATCATCGCTCTCATCGGCAATTTAGGGACAACCTCGTGCTTGCTTTGCTTAAAGGCATATTTGATTTCATCAATTGGTTTTACATCAGGCATAATACAATAATATTTTTCATACTGTTGAAATAATAATTATATTTATTATTAAATGGAACATCGTTTTGCTCACGAGAAGGATGACTGTGTAGAGTCACAGATGGGACAGAAGAGCTTTAGGAGCGCTTGAGGCAGGCAGCCACAGCAGGCATTCATGAAAAACAAAAGTGTGGGAGGTTTGTACCTTATCTGTATATGCATGATGGCACCCCCACCACAACCTACATTTCCAGCTAAAACATTAGTACTTGCCTGGAAACACACACACACAAAATGGACATAATTCCAGAAAACCAGAAAAACCTCGAGAAAACCAGAAAACCAGAAAAACCAGAAACACCAAAAGTCTCAGAGACTTGTAGCTCAAGATCCAGAAAACCAGGAAATCCTCGAGAAAACCAGGAAAACCAGGAAAATCAGAAAAAAACCAGAAGATCTGAACACTTTGGCCCAGAAGTCTCTGAGACTTCTGGTTTTTCTGGTTTTTCTGGTTTTCTCGAGGTTTTCCTGGTTTTCTGGATCTTGAGCTACAAGTCTCTGAGACTTCTGGTTTTTCTGGTTTTTCTG